ATCCAAGTTTTTGCATATTAAAATACATACTATTCTGATGAATATAAAAATAATTTTTATGCATATAAAAGTGAATATTATTTTAATCCATATAAAGATGTATATTATTTTAATGCATATAAAATGTTTATTATCCTCCACTCACTATAAAAAGATTATCATATAAAGGTGATATTGATGCTAATCCATAAAAAAAACTTAAAGTTGTTGAAACATCACTGTCATATAAAGTTGACAATAAAGAAATTTTATCCGGAGATAAATCTCTCTCTATACTTCCTAGATCTTTAACTTTGCCTTCATATATGGAGCTCAATTTTACATTTTTTTTCTAACCTTATTCAAAATATATATCTTTATGATATTTATGATCCCATATTAATCAGGGACTACCAAGTTAGTTATTGAAATAATTACCTCACTGATTCTAAATGTTAGATTATTGTAGAATGTCTTAGAGACATAGATAAATAAGAAGATAAAACTTCAACTGATAAAGCTTCAACTTCTACAGCCGTTGTTCCCACTACCAGTGTAAATATTGGGACTAATTTCAATCATGTTGAAATTCTTAAAGAACTAATTAAAACAAAAAATTTCATTTAAATCTTGAGCAGCTTAAAGCAGCAATTATGGAAAAATTCCGTCTTCAGGTTATGTCTACATTTGGAATGGGCAAAACCGAAAAAATGGATCTCATTAATACTCCTTCAGTTGCCATAAAAGGCAAAGACAAAGATCAAGTTGAGGAAGAAGATAGAAAATCTCTCACTCGTATTAATTCTGATGACGATTTTATGAATTCTCAAGGATATACCCCTCTTAAAAGTGACATTACTATTAATGAAGATTTGCTAAATGATGATATGGAGATAAACCTTCATGATGATAGCGATAATATGCTATGTAATTTGTTTTACAAGAAATGATAAGATAAAGTTGATTTCTCGGATAAAGTCGACCCAAAAGAAGTGACACACGCCCTGACATCACTATAAAGATTGTGAATAGTGTACAATATTTATGACGTATGCAATGACGTTATTGTAAATTATTAAAATTGTAAACAGTATAAAGTTGTGAATAGTATTGAATATTTTGAAATCTGGATTTCATGTGCGGCTCTATATAAAGCTTCAACTTCTACAACCGTTGTTCCCACTACCAATATAAATACTGAGACTAATTTCAATCCTGTTAAAATTCTTAAAGAACTAATTAAAAAAGAAAACCTCATTTAAATCCTGAGCAGCTTAAAACAACAGTTATGAAGGAATTTTGTCTTCAGGTTATGTTTACATTTGGAATGGGCAAAACTGAAAAGATGGATCTTGTTAATACTATTTCAGTTGCCATAAAAGACAAAGGGAAAGATAAAATTGAGGAAGAAGATAAGAAATTTTTCACTTCTATTAATTTTGATGACAACTTTATGGATTCTCAGGGATATACCCCTCTTAAAAGTGACATTACTATTAATAAAGATTTGTTAAATGATGATATGAAGATAAACTTTTATGATGACAGCGATAATATGCTATGTAATTTGCTTTACAGGTAATGATCAGATAATGTTGATTTCTCGGATAAAGCCGACCCGAAAGAAGTGATGCACGCCCTGACGTCACTATATGAAGAAGTGACACATGTCCTAACGTCACTATAATAAAGTAACGAACGCCCTGACGTCACTATAAAGAATGTGAATAGTGTACAGTAAAAAGTGTACAATATTTATGACGTATGCAATGACGTCATTGTAAATTATTAAAATTGTGAATAATATAAGATAGTTTTAAAATCTAAATTTTATGTCCGACTCTATATAAAGAGATGCAGACCCGACTTGTGGAGCGCCGCATCTCACACCACCCCCTACACCATCCTTCACCAACCCTTGACTTCCTTCTCTCCCTTCTTACACCCTCTGTAAACCTTTATAAACAAAAAAAAACTTTTTATCTTCCACCTTCAATCACTACTACTGTAAGTGTGTCTTGTACATAAGTTTGCATTAAATAAAAGCTTTCGCTTGTATTTTGCGCTCGTACATTGATCCTCCCCCTTGTTGGTATCAGAGCCATATGTCTATGGTAGCTTAAATATATTCTGTTTATTTATATGTAAATCTATTATTAATTCTTGTTGCTTATGTAATTGTGATTTAATTGTATTAGACCACTGCTGCTATGAAATTGTGAAGGTAATTGTGTTATAATAATGTTTCTTTGGGCTTTTATTGATTGTTAAAATTTTGTTATGATGATGATTTTTTGTTGCTTCCTATGGTTTTGCCTTCAATATCGCGTATTAGGGATGGTGTTAGGCCGTTTCCCTTCAAGAGTCGATAAAGTTGATTGCAAAAAATAGGATGTTAAGAAGAATCATTATAGCAGAATTTTGTCAATAATAGAATGTTGAGAAGATTATTATACCAGGATTATTATAGCAAAAGTCACAATAGCAGTACTGTAGCAGAATTAAAAGACAAATTACAATAGCAATTAGAAGAAGGTAATAGTGAAACATATAAGTCAACATAACAACATTTGAGATACCACTATGACTTTTTAAACTTATTTAAATTTAATCAGAAAGATGATTATGTTAAAAATATGGAAGAAATAGAATTCTCTGATATTGAAAATAAATTGACCGAGGAAGAAGACTAATTAAATGTACACCTATATAAATACCTCATATATATATACGCACACACATACACATATAGTTTGGATTTAAACTATTTAATTACAAAATTTTTTTAAATTAAGAATATTTATGTCTCTCTGTCTAAATATATATATATAGAGAGAGAAAGAGTTGTAATATGGTAAAACTCTAAAATTTAGAAATTTTAGTTTTCAAATCTATTTTAATTATAAATAAGGTTTTCTAATTGGTTTTATGAGCGCATTTATTTTGTTGTTAGGGGTATATTAGACGTTTGGTTTTCAAATGGACTTTTAGGAGCTATTTTATAACACCACTTAAGACTTAAAACCGAATCATTTAAACATTTAATGAATCGTTTGATAACTTAAAACTCATATCACTTAACATTGTAAGCATTTCTTAAAAATAGACTAAAATTTTAAATAACAAGCCACATACATACTTATCACTTAATGTTGAAAATGTTGATTAATAAAGATTTTATTAATTTCTTATAATGAACAAATATACCCTCAATGCATCTTATACTCTTAACTTTTTAATATTCGCCAATCACCACTACCAGCATTGTGTTGCCACCGCCACCACCACTTCCACTATCATCGCGTCTACCACCACCATTGTGCCACTGTCACTACCACTATCACCATCATCGTCAATATTCTGTTGTTGTCACCACAATGGTGATGGTAAGAATAAGGTAATTGCAGAGAAATAGTTAAAAAAAGGAAAAAATTAGAATAACAATAATTTTAAAACTTCAGCTCCTTATATATGTTAAATAATTTGATTCAATTCAACACTTAAATTTCAATTGATGCTGAACAGTTTACGAATTAAAAAATTCAGCATTCAGTACTTAAAATTCAGCATTCAATTTTCAATATTCAGTTATACATTTTTTTTTATATCAAACTCTACCTTAGCCAAAATCTTTTTCTGCTTGAACTTCTAGTCTAGTAAGTGTTAAAACAATGTACGGACTTTCAAAAAAGGGAAAATTGGAAGGAGGTACACCAAATTAGACTTAATTGTTAAAATGTATATAGAAAAAAATGTTGGGTAATTAAGTCCTTAATTTTGATACTTATTTGTATCTAAATATATTATTTGAATTTTACTGATTTTTTTGTAATTTTTTTGCTCTCCATTAATCCATGCGTATTTAATACACCACTTTTCTTTGAAAAATGGTACATTAAACATCTCCTAGTTTTATGGGAGAATTTTAATACATATATATATATATATATATATATATATATACACATATAAATATAAATACGTATATATATACTTGTTTGAATTTCAAAATTTGTATATAAAAACGTATATGTATATAAATTATATTTTAATGCATATTGATTCATGCGTTATATATATATACTTATTGTTAAATCTATTATCTAAATTTTGTATTATCTTTTAATGCACTTTGATTAATGCATTTTTTTATAAAGTGATTTTATTTTCAAATTAATTTAATATCTGAATAGTGTAATAGTGTAACAATAAAAGTATAACAGTGTAACAATAATAATGTAACAATAGAAGTGTAACAGTGTAATAGTATAACAATAATAGTGTAGTAAGCTATTTACACAAAATATTGTATTATTACATTTTGTCAAACATATAATTTCATTCAAAATAGTTCATTTCTATTTTGAATTTGTTATCACATATAAAAAATTACTGAACACTGTTTTTGTTACACTGTTACACTATTACATTATTCAGATATTAAATTAATTTAAAAATAAAATTATTTTCCCAAAAAAAAAACACTTTGAATGAAGGTGCATTAAATATAAATTGAAAACAAAATTAATTTCAAAAAAAAAAATGCATGAATTAAGGTGCATTAAAAATAATTCAAAATTTAGATAAAAAATTTAACAAACATTTATATATATATATATATATATATACATATTTACATGTATTAATAAATACACATAAATCAAGATGTATTAAATACGTATTTATATATATTAATAAACACACATGAATCAAGGCGCATTAAAGATAAAAGATTTTGAATTAAATGACCTTAAAATTAACATTTATGTCTTTGTAACTCACATTTTATTTTATGTATTTTTTACCAAATAAATCTAATTAGGTGTACCGACTTATAAAAAACCTTTCAAAAAAAAACCTAAAAATATTTCATTTGATTGGGCTAGATTCTACTGAACGACAAACCGAGCGCACTACAACAGGGGCTCAAGCTGAAACCTCAGTCTTCATTTCCGCGCACACACACCGTCCCCCTCACCCTCTCCTTCACCATCTCTCTCGCGCGGGAGATATCTCAGCCGATGTCGACGCTGAAGGAGATCCTCACTCGCCGCCCAGTGGCGGCAACGATCCGGCTAACAGTTCCCGCCGGCGCGGCCCGACCGGCACCACCAGTCGGCCCAGCTCTCGGCCAATACCGCCTAAACCTTATGGCATTTTGCAAAGACTTCAACGCCCGAACCCAAAAGTACAAGCCAGACACGCCCATGGCCGTCACCATAACGGCCTTCAAGGACAACACCTTCGAGTTCACCGTCAAGTCGCCGTCGGTAACGTGGTACTTGAAGAAAGCAGCGGGCATTGAGTCCGGCAGCGGCCGACCGGGTCACATGATCGCGTCGACGTTGAGCTTGAAGCACGTTTATGAGATAGCGAAGATCAAGCAGTCGGATCCATACTGTCAGTACATGTCGTTGGAGGCGATTTGTAAGTCGATTATGGGTACTGCTAATACTATGGGCATTAAGGTTCAGAAGGATTTGGATTGATTTGATTCTGTTAGATAAAATCCTTGGTTTTCTGTTTTTGTTTTTCTTCTATGAAATGAAATGTTTACGTTTTGAGATCATGATGGAAACATGTTTGTTGTAGTCTTTAGTAGTGCTGTTCTGTTCTGATTTGGATTGAATTTGGCTGATAATTTTTTTTTGGGGGGGAATATGTAGAGTTATACATGATTTAACTGCAATGCTTCGCTGTAGTAATCATAATAAAAACTACATTTCCACAATTTGCAACCCTTCAAAACTTCATATTATTCACCACAGCTTCCTATTTGCGCTTCCTTAGGTTTCAATCAAGACCCTTATCAACCACACCTGTCCCAACTCACCAGCATATGGTCCATACCATATTAGACCAGAGATTAGCAACTCTCCAGATGGGCTTCCAAACTCTCCAGTTTCACTCACACTCAATCCACCTACAGGACTTTGATCTGCAAGCTATGTAGTTTAAAAATTCTTGACTGTCAAAGAACTGCTCGATGAAATGCCCAGCTCGATTGGCTCACCCCCAAATGATGACATTTTTGTCCATATTGTCTCTGTGGTCTCAGTCGGGCTCATATGATTCGAGAAGTGATCAAAGTTCTCGATTTGGTTTCTAAAGTTTGAAAAGTACACATCTTGGAATCTCTTCAACTCAATGCTTGATGTTCGCATTAAGGAATATATTTTCTTAGAAAATTTTATCTGGAAAAGGTGAAGCAAAGTGTGTTTGAGGTTATGTATTTTTATGGGATTTTATGAAAGGACTTTGCTTGACTAATATAATTGCTTATAGTCGTAAGCTCGTGCAAGTAATAAAGACTCGTGGTGTAACGCGAAATACTTTTATAATGCATTCATTCATGCTCTTTACAAGAGTGCGAAGTTTGGATTGGGAGAACTAGGAACTTGATGATGAAATGGTATAACCCAATGATGCGACTTTTAATATTTTGATATCTGCTTATTGTTGAGAAGAAAATTTAGTCCTAGCTCTTGTAATTTTGGAGAAATTCGTAGGAAAAGGGTTTGTTTTAGACATTGTCACTGTGACTAAGTTGCTGGAAATTTTTTGTGGTCTAGGTTGTTGTGGAGGCTATTGATGTTCTAGAAAGAATAGAGAGGAAAGGGTTTTTATGTTGTAGGATATAATCACCTGGTCAAAGGTTTTTGTACTGTAGAGAAGTGAAGTTTGGATATGGTTTTTAAAGGAGATGGAGAGGAAGGGTTGCCTTCCAGATGTAGATGCATATACGTGCTGATCTCTGGTTTGTGAGTGTGGAATATTGGATTCCGACTTTGGGACCGGTTAAAAAAAAAAAACTTTTGGTTGTAATTGTAACTTTGTCAGATATGATACATTAATCCATTCTTCAGGATGAAAGATGGAAGAGAGTTTTAAGATCGTGGAATTAACGGAGGAATGTAAGAGTGGTTTCAGTGGTGGAATAAGTCCATAGGCAACAATGTCGTATATGGTTTGTATAAGCAAAACCATTTCAATGAACTGCTCAAAGAGCTGCTTGCCAAAATGCCCAGCTTGATTGGTTCATCCCCTATGAGGACATTTTTGTCACAATTGTCTTTGTGATCTTGTCTGAGCACGTGTGATTTGAGAAGTAAACAAAGTCATCGACTCAATTTTTAAGTTTGAAAAGTACCCATCTTTGAAATTCATCAACTCAATACTTGGTGTTCTCGTTAAGGAAGATATTGACTCAGAAAGAAAATTTCACAGGGAGAAGGTGAAGGAAAGTGGCATTCGAGATGAAAATTACACTTGTCAGATTCAATTAAAGGACTTTGCTTGACTAATTGAATTGCTGATGGTTTTAAGCTCTTGTAAATAATGAAGATTCAGATTCGGGGTGTAACGCCAAATACTATTATAACACGTTGAGTCATGCTCTTTGCAAGAGTGGGAAGCTTGGGATTGGGAGAGCTATAGTATAAGCCAATGATGGCACCTTTAATATTTTGATATCGCTTTATTGTCAAGAAGAGAATTTAATCCAAGATCATGTAATTTTAGGGAAATGCGTTGGCAAAGGGTTTGTTTCAGAGATTGTCACTGTGACTATGGTGGTGGAAATTCTTTGGAGTACAGGTTGCTGTGGAGGCTATTGATGTTCTAGAAAGAATAGAGAGCAAAGGGGGTGCAATTGATTTTGTAACTCATAATATCCTGATCAAGGGTTTTGCTAATGCAGAGAAAGTGAAGGTTGGATATAGGTTTTCGAAGGAGATGGAGTGGAAGTGTTGCCTTCCAAATGTAGACACATATAACATGCTGATTGCTGGTTTCTGTGAGTGTGGAAAATTGGCTTTTGAGCTCGTGATATGATTAATGAAATGAAGTAGTTGAGCTTTTTGTCACATATGATAAGTTAATCCATGGTTTGTGTTCAGGTGAAAAGATGGAAATGGGTTGTAAGATCTTGGAATTAATGGACGTAAGTAAGGGGGTTCTCGGGATCGAATAAGTTGCTACAACAGTGTCATATATGGTCTGTATAAGCAAAACCACTTGAATGATACCCTCGAATTTCTAAATAACTAGGAGGAAGTGTTTCCTAAAGCTGTTGATAGTTACCTGTGGAGGGTAGTGTCGAGGATGCATATGGAGTTTATTATCAGATGATTGGGAAAGGAGGTGTTCTGAATGTTCTTGTTTATGTCAGTTTGATTCTAGGCATTGCCAAGAAGCATGTGGGAAGGAAGGATTTGAGATGTTGACTGAGATGGTTGGTCTTTGTTATTTTCTTGTTGCCAGTGTTCATTCCTTTAACTAGTGTACTATGCGGGCAAGGCAAATTGGGAGTGAAAACTCCTGGAGGAAATGGTTGGAAGAGGTTGCTTGTCTAGTGTCAAACGTTTGTGGTCTATTGATCAATGACCCTTAGTAGGAAAGAGACCTTGCAGGATTCAACACTCTTTATACAGGTACTGGAAATGGGTATTCCTGATTATTTAAATTACCCATTACAATGGATTTTTGAGACTTGAACCATGCACAATGTTGATATAAGTGTCTGGAATTGATCTCTCTTCAATAGCTGTGTTACACAGAGAACCCAGAATATCTATTCACAATTTGGGAACTCTTTACGAAATGTTGGTGTAGAATGGGCTCATCAAGATGCTTCTCTGCATTTTGAGTTGCTAACTGCATATTGCCTCATTCGGCAGTCGTGGAAAGTAAAACAAGAATTTCATATCCAGCAGATTGTCAATGTTTGAAAACTGAAGTGTTTCCTTGTGGAGGAAACTGGATGAAGTGTGAGCCATCAAGGAAAGCTTGGACATTTTTGTTTTCATGTAAGAGGAGAGAAAAAAGGGAAGGGGGGGGGGGAGGAGGGGGGGTAATAACCCCTTGGGCATGACATGAGAGTTCTTCCACTGTGGAATATCGGGTTTGAATCATAGCTACTGACCTGAAAGGGCGGTCCATCACTACAGCACTACCAAAGTCAAGCAATAAACTGTGTTACTTTGGTGAATCAAATAATGCTTGATAACGACCTTAAATAAATACGACTTACCACCAGTTCCGATGGTGAAAACTTGGGCATTTGAGTGCGAGAATAGGGACTGAAAATGGACAGCAATGACACAACATATGACTTTCAGTTAGCAGTCTTTGTAAGTTGCAGTGACAATGTTGGTCATGGCTGATGGTAGTTGATCCATATAGATAAGATTGCTTCTCAAGCCCCGGTGAATTAAATAATGTTTAATAATTATATGAAAATAAAAAACGCCTTTAAATGAATACGACTTATCATCAGTTCCGATGATAAAAACTTGGGCATTTGAGTGCGAGAATAGGGACTGAAAATGGACAGCAAGGACACAACATATGAATTTCAGTTAGCAGTCTTTGGAAGTTGCAGTGACAGGGTGGGTCATGGCGGATGGTAGCTGATCCATATAGATAAGATTGCTTCTCAAGTATCTAATTGTGATTATTAATTTTAGCTGAAAGGCATGGTCTAGAAGATTTTCAGCCGAAAGCATTTCCTCAATGACTGGGAAAATATCCAATTTTTAAAGGTGTGTTCTGGAAAGAGGACATCATGCTCTTATTTTGTAAGGAGATTTTTTATCCTTTAACAATATAATCCTGAATGGAGTACAATGGATGAATATGGTTTTATTATGGTATAAACAAAAATTGGCACAGAAATCGTTAAGTAGTTTGTTGTTAAACTGCTTGGCGTTGTCACTTATAATGGTATGAGGTATTCCGAAACGATAGACTAGATTTTTTCACATGAAACCTTTTATCTTCTGGTCTGTTATTTTGGTTAAGGCATGGGCTTATGCCCACTTAATAAAGTAGTCGATGAGTATCACTACTTGCACTAGCCCCGACTCTCAAGGAGGGGTCCTAGGATGTCGATCCCCCACATGGAGAAGAGTCATGGGCTCTGAATGTTGGTGAACTCTTCGGGTGGCTGTCTGGGCACAGTCGCGAAGCATTGACACTTGTCACATCTCCTGATAAACTCGCGGGTGTCTCTGATCATGGTAGGCTAGTAATATCTTGACAGAATTGCTTTGTGGGCCAGTGCACGCTTTCCTGAGTGATTTTCACATATTTCCTCGTGAATTTTTCTCATTGCGTAATCGGCTTCCTTGAGGGTGAGATAGCGGAGTAGTGGTAGGGTAACTTTTTTTGTAGAGGGTGTTTTGCATGATGACATATCTGGACGCTCTCATTCTCAACTTTTTAGCTTCCACTAGGTTATCTAGGAGAGCGCCATCCTCTAGGTAGGCTCGAATGGGAGTCATCCAATTGGCTTCTGAAGATGCACAATTAACATTGTTCTCCTCTGTCTTCAGGGTGCTTGGTTCGAACTGGTAGCCTGTTAGTGCCGGACCCATGAGTATGTTGGCAAATGCGAATTTGGCGAGGGCGTCTGCCATGACATTCTTTTCTCGAAGCACATGGTGGATTTAGAAGCAAGTAAACTTTTTTAGCAAGGCTTGGACCATAGAGAAGTATTCTTGCATTCTTTTCTCTTTTGCTTCAAAGTCTTCTTTTACCTGGTTGACTATGAGCTGGGAGTCACTATAAGCTGTCAGGTAGAGAGCCTTCATCTCCAACACAAGCTTGAAGCCTAATATAAGGGTCTTATATTCAAATTGATTGTTTGATGGTGGAGGGAGATGACGTACCTCAGTGGAGTGCCATGGAGGCTAATCAACACTAGTCCCGCGCCGCCGTAGCCGCCCTCGCTGATGGAGGACCCATCCACGTAGAGTTTCCAACCTAGTACAATAGACGGTGGCGAGGGCACCAACTCTACGGGCGACGCTGTCTGCGATGAGGGGAACCTTGATGGCGCTGAAGAGGCAAGAGGCAGTGGGCTGCTGGGCGGCGCCTAGGGAGAGAGGAATGTGAGAGGCGAAGCCTCGAGAGAGGGCGGTGCCCTAGGCAGAGTGGGTGGCGCCCTGGGCTGCACAAGCGACACCTTGGGCAGAGTGAGTGGCGCCCTGTCCCATACCGGCGACGCCTTGGGCTGCCCAGGCTGTGGAGGCATCTTCGAGGCATCAGGTCCTCTCGGGGTAGCCTCTGAGCTAGCCTCATAGTGGGTAGAGGCAGTGTGTATTGAGCAGGTGGGCGCAGGGACGCCTGATACTTCCTTCCCAGTCTCCTGTGGCAGTGTAGACTCGGTCATGAAGTCCGCAAGTGCTTGTGCTTTGATGGCAGCTTTCGGTTGGTACTGTACATTGAACTCACTTAACTCGACGAATCACTTGAGTAGTCGACGAACACATCAGGCTTTACCAGAATTCTTTTGAGTGGTTGATCTGTAAGACTGTAACAACCATGATGGTGTGGCTTTGAAAGTAGTGGCGTAGATGTTTGGCGGCAGTGATAAGTGCGAGAGCCAATTTTTCAAGCCCAGAGTACCTTACATTTGCCGCTTGGTATGCCTTGCTTACGTAGTATACATGTTTCTGATGTCGGTGTCCCCCAATGAAGTGGGAGACGAAGGATTTACTCAACTCCGCGAAGGAGTTGATAGATGAAGGTTTGATCTTTGCGAACTATTGACGAGCAGACCCCTTCAAGGTAGTGGGAAAGACTCTACACATGATCTCATCAGGAACATTGTGGAGTTGCATGAGAGACTTATAGGTATCATGGTGACCCAGAGGGTCTTTGGTACTGTTGAAGATCTTGATGACAGACATCTTGAACTTCGAGGGTAAGAGGTAATTGATTATATTTGCAACGAACGGGGTATCAGTGCGCCTTGCCAGATAATCCATCAGATGTCTGTGCCTTGATGACGTTGAGGGTATCACCGAGTTGGTTTTGCATCTCTCTGATCTTTTTGTTTCATTGGTTAGGGACATCCTCCGTCGGGTTGTTGTACTGGCTTCCATGACTGACATATTGACTTTCTGCCTTGTCCTCCTATACAGGTACATGAGGAGGGACTCCTAGAGATGGCAGTAGACCGGAGAAAAACGGGTATTCTTCCAAACCTGTCCCATTTGGACCAGAGATGGACTATACGTATTGGACGGTGGACGTATACGGGAATACCCGTATAAACCCGTGTGGGGATGAAGGCAGGGATAGACTTACCCTTATCCCTGTCCCGTCCCCATTATCAGTTAAAAAAAATAAATAAATAATATATATATAAGCTTAAAGCCCTAGGACCTTGTCTTACTACTCTCCTCTTCCTCTATCAGCTTCAGCGCCGCCTGTCCGTCTCTCTCTCCTCTTCCTCTAAGCTCAACTCAATCGCTAATCGCGGCCTGCACTTCTCTCCATCGGCGAATGCACCCGAGAAGCTTGTCCTGATCTCGTGTTGGACAGCCTGCTATCCCACAACATCACATGAGTATTTGGCAATCTGAGACTTACAATAGTGTAGACCTGTTTTAATATTTTAGTTAATTTCTTGTTTTGTGATAGATCTTTGTTCCTTTCTTTGCGAATTTGAAGTTTTGTTATAGATCACAGCTCTATGTTATTCAAATACAGATATGCTTACCCCATTTGGCCACACCAAGCTTGATATTCTATGGTCTGTTGGATTACATATGTACACTGTAATTTTCATTTGCCAAGCTTTAACGACTTGAGTGAATTGCCATATTTGGGTATTTCGGTATTAGGATGTCCCTTTGCCAAGCATGAAGAAAACACTTGCTTTTGTGAAGAAGAAAACACTTGTCTTATAAGTTGGATGTATGTGAAAAGAATTTGGGAAGAAGAGGTGGCTGAATTTGTTTTTTGGCAATTAACTACGACATGAACATGCTATGGTGAAGAGAAATGGAAACAGGGTACTGTTTATGTAGGTATTAATCTAATTTAGGTATATATTCTGGTTCTTCATTTCGTGGGTCCTAGATGGATAATTAAAATACAGTGTTCAGACTTGCAAAAAATAAAATACAGTGTTCAGACTTTTGAAGAGAAACTTATTTCTCTGAAAATTATTTTATTTTTCATTATTCTAGGTATGTCTAGAGGAAATTATACTTTTATGATTAGTTAAATGGCTTAACTTCTACAAGTAGTAATCTACACTCTTGGGTTCAAGACTCCACTAACGTAAATGTCAGCGTGAAGTACATATAAACTCGATGAGCTGATCCTAAAGGAACAAAGCTTCAAAGGACAGAAGTGTGATTGTTAGGCGATCTGGGTGTCTTCAAAATTTAGCCCCCACCTGCATACTATCAAGAGATAGTAGCTGTGATTGAGGAGATATATCTTATTGAAAGTGAAAAACACTTGCTTTTGTGATTACCAATAAGTTTATCTGAGTAGGCATCTTGCTTTAAATGCTGCTACATCATGGAAGGCAGCATAGCTCAAATGCATAATATTTCAGTTGTAGTAATTCTGGGACTATTACAGCATCACTATATTTGTCATAGATAATAGAAACTTACAGAGAGAATAAATCAAAACAGGGATAGAATCTCTAAATTAGGTTGCAGAGGAAAGTATTGTTTCAATTTGTGTTAATAATACTTCTCTTCTTTATACTGAGTACCATGTTAGGCCTTATTTAATGAGAATATTTTGAATTTTCATATTTATCTGGGAACTTTGTTAAAAATCTTAGTATATAATCTAGAAAAGGCACTTGATTATTTAATGAGAATATTGTGAATTTCATCATAATTTTATTGTATAATTGTTAAGCTAGAGCCTCAAGCCCTTGATTAGGGACTCAAATTCATTGTTATTGGTGATAAAAAAAAAAAGAGGGGAAAGTGGGACTGTGGTATCAAAAGAAATCTTTTCATTTTAATAGTGTGGCTGTGAAAATGACTTCTTGATGTATGTAGGCTTGAGCTTGAGTTTATGCTTGGGTTTGGGCTTGGGCTTGGGCTTGGGCTTGGGGGAAGCGGGGACGGGGACGGAGATTATAAATTTACCTGCGAACGGGAATGGGGATGAAAATTATACCCGTTAGCAGGGGTGAACCGAGGATGGACGAATGTTTTTTAAGCGGGTACGAGGATGAAGAGGGCGCCCGGACGTGGCCTTGGGGCGCTCTGGTGAGGGGGCTCCATGGCGCCCAGAGGGGATAGGCTGCTGCGCCTCTCCCGTTGGAAAGAGTGGGGCTTCTCCCATGGGTTGAGGGGCGACGCCTACCTGGGCGATCATCAACTGAATGATTTATTAATTTTGGTTTCCCAACAATTGCATGATATGTAAAAGCTGTTACCCGACGATGGGAGTCGCCATAGCAAATGGTTCTGAGGGTGCGAGGGGAGGTGGAGCCTCCCCCGATGAGCCGGGTTGTTGTCTTCCGGTTGTTGACTCATCGACCTGGTCGTGATTGCCATGGATTAAATGAGAATAGAAAACTTAGTTGTTTCTTACAAACGACGCTAAACTGATGATGCACAAAACTGTCTCGTGCAAGTTCAACAGTCGAATATGTGAAGAGGTATAATTAATGAACAATAAATAAGATAACCAATGGCAACATAGTAAATATGAAATTAACAGACAAATATATAGTTGTTCGGTGCAGGTGACCTACTCCACTCTCGAAAAACGACAGCGGTGGCCGGGAGTCTTTATTGATGAATAAAGTAACAGAGAGAAAGCTCCGAAAAATATATGCTCCGAGAGAGGTACAATAACTAGAAGATAGAAGCTATGTGCATGGGTGTAGAGAGGTGTCAAGGTGTGTTGAGAGATGTGTCTCACCATGTGAAGAGAACTTATAATATATAGGTATGGTGAGGCAGTGATATGAGTGTGAGGACACTTATCTTCCCGGACTCCTTGGATCTTGGACTGGTCAGATTGATTGAACTGTCTTTTAGTTGACTTGGACTAACTTGATTTATTAAACTTGACCCAATCAGATTTGGGCTCGTCACAAATATAATAGAATTTAATATTGAGTAATTAGAGATCATAGAAAGAGCTTTCAAGGTTTTGCAATTAAATTTGCAGAAGTAGAACTTAAAGTGTACGGATATGAATGTAGTTCTAAAGCTGGACATCCTTTGTTTGAATTATGATAATATTTTGGGTCAGATCACGAGAGATTTATTTTGAATATCCTAATTTTGACGTGGATACCTTTGATCGAACCAAAAAGAATATTAATTGAAGAATGCATAAATTGACTATAATACCCCCAAATTTTTGAACCAAAAAACCAAAAAAAAAAATTAAATCGTGATCTTAGATTTTGTTCTCATGAAAAACATAATTAGCTCACTTGCTCAGACCGGATGAAAAGCTCAAATATTTGTTCTTTCTTCCGTTCAACTCAACAATCAAGTTTCAGATTTTTTCTTTTCTCTTAGAGCATTTCTAAAGTTGATTCAAATTTGAGGTAGTATTTGAGTGAAAAATTTTATTTGATACTGTAGACTCTAATGAACAAATTTAAATTTAAATTTAAATGATGATAAAATATGACCATTAGATTTTTAAAAGAAAATAAAATCTAACTATTGGTGATTTTAATAAAGGTTTGAAATTCTTTTTATTTGCGTAAAACTTTAAGTCTCTCTTAATTTAGCATGAATTTGGGTATAGAATTGGAGAAAAAATTTTAAGAATTTTTTACTAAAATTTAAATTTGGGTTTAAAAAATAGTAAGAGGTAGAGATGATATTTCTTCATAATATCACGATATGAACTCAATATGAAATTAGTTGATTATGATTATTTATTATTTGATACACACAAATAATGGAAAACACAAATTATTCTTTTTTGACACAATACTCCTGCTCGACTACTATTTTAGTAATTTTTATTTTTTACATCATTTTCAATTTCTTGGTCTAGTATCATGGGCATCATGGAATCATATACTGTTTTTGACATAGTTTTACTAATAACTAGATCAAGTAAATTTTTATTTTATTGTGACAAGTGACTTGTGAGTGGCAAATTGGATTAAGAGATAAAGGGAATGAGTAATGCTAGGCTCGTCAAAAAAACGAGACCAAAAATAGAGATTAAATAATGTGATATTATTTGTTAGATTCATTTTTATAAATTTAATTTTTTTTTTTTTTGTCAGAACCTTTTAAGGTTAGTCCAATGGTAATGTCTTTCTTCTTGTAAACAAAAGGTATCAGATTCGATATTTTTTATATTCCATAAAAATTAGTCATCTTTGTTTTTTCAGGGGATATGTCCTTAAACTAACTCGCGCTATGGTAACTAGTCTCGTAACTCAAGGAAGTAGTCGATGCAAGTGTTAGACCTTATAACAAAAAAATAATAATAATAATAATCTTGAGCTTTTATGTATGAATTATTCATTTCGTTGCAATATTAAATGATAGACCGTAGAATCATAACATAATAAAATTCTCTAATTCAACCTTATATTGTATTTGATTGTCAAAAATATTATGTATTATATATAGGTTTATTTTAAATATGCATTTAAATAATACGACACGCACGTACTATTTTTTTTCAAATGTCAAGAGTGTTCGAGTCAATTTTACACTCATCTTTGACTATTCCAGCTCAAACATATTAAGTCATAAATTTACTATTTTGTTTGCAAGATAAATAAAAACACAAATCATTAGACTATTCTTCCACTCTCAATTCAACATCTGATAGGCACGGAATTACAAAAAAAAAAAAAAATTTATTTTATATTTAATCTTATATTTTATCCACTTATACAAATTTAACCTGAATTATTTAATATATTTTTTTTTATAATAATATAATCAAGTGAGCCATAAACAATGGATCGGTATCTGATACGATATGATTATTAACAAATTGATAAGAGCAAATGCTTCAAATGCTCAAAATAGCAGGAGATGGTCTAAGACCAGGTCCATCCTGCGGAAAGGTTTGCTCGAAAACAAAGATATGGCTGATAAATTGCCAACTGTATCATGGAAGTCAAGCCATTTGCTTTAGAAGAAAAAAACATACATAGAACATGTCTTCCATACTAAGCTGTGGATGAGTCATTTTGCTCGTTGCCTATTCCTCTTCTCTTCAATAACGTGCTCCAATTGATAAATCCTAACCCCAGCAGCCACCGGCCCACCGTTAGCCACCACCCACCAACCAGTCAACCACCACCTATTTGCTCAGAAAAACATCATAATCAAATTGTAACTAACTATTACCATCTCTCCAAAACGGATAGCGAAATGAGGACAAAAGCTGCCTCCTTACGCGAAGTTCCACTTTAACAAAATTGCTCAAAAATCATTCATCTCTCTCTCTCTCTCTCTGTGATCAATCATCTGGTTCATCTGTTCTACACATCAAGCGGAATCACACCTCTATATTGATTCATCTGATCTCTCTCTCTCTCTCATCAATCAAATTGAAGAACACCACCATGGTGTTTGAGAAAGATGAAGCAAGCTCATCCTCCGCCCACCTCCCGAGAGAAAACTCCCCACTTCTCACCGAAACCCATCGACTCTCCTCCCAACCCAAGACCTTCGCCAATGTTTTCATCGCCATAGTCGGCTCAGGCGTCCTCGGTCTCCCCTACACCTTCAAGAGAACCGGTTGGGTCATGGGCCTCCTCATGCTCTTCTCCGTCGCCTACCTTACATACCACTGCATGATGCTCCTCGTTCACACTCGCCGGAGACTCGAAACCCACCTCAATCTGGCCAAAATCACCTCCTTTGGCGACCTCGGCTTCGCCGTCTGTGGATCCATCGGCCGATTTTCCGTCGACGCCATGATTGTTCTCTCCCAAGCTGGGTTCTGCGTGAGCTACATGATTTTCATGGCCACTACCTTGGCAAATATAATCAATTATTCTCCATCAAATCCAAACCCCAAAATCATGGGTTTATCCCCAAAAATTGTGTATATCTGGAGTATATTTCCATTCCAACTGGGTTTGAATTCGATTCCAACACTGACCCATTTGGCTTCTCTGAGCATTTTCGCAGATGTGGTGGATATTGGATCTATGGTTGTTGTTATGGTGGAAGATGTTATGACTTTTCTCAAGAACAGGCCTGTTTTGCACGCATTTGGAGGGTTGAATGTTTTTATTTATGGTCTTGGGGTGGCTGTTTATGCTTTTGAAGGGGTTGGAATGGTTTTGCCTTTGGAATCAGAGATGAAACAGAAGAACAAGTTTGGGAAAATCTTGGGTTTGTCAATGGCTTTCATTTCTCTAATGTATGGGGGATTTGGAGTTCTGGGTTACTTTGCTTTTGGTGAGGACACCAAGGATATAATCACTACCAATTTTGGGCATGGCTTTGTGAGTGTTTTGGTTCAGATTGGCCTGTGTATAAACTTGTTCTTCACTGTTCCATTGATGATGAACCCGGTTTATGAGGTGGTGGAGAGGAGGTTTTGTGATGGAAGATACTGTCTGTGGCTGAGGTGGGTAATGGTTTTGGGGGTGAGTTTGGTGGCACTTTTGGTACCTAATTTTGCAGATTTCTTGTCTCTGGTGGGCAGTAGTGTTTGCGTTGTTTTGGGGTTTGTGTTGCCTGCTTTGTTTCACTTGATGGTGTACAAGGAAGTTTTGGGTTGGTATGGGTTGGGTTTGGATGGGATAATTATTGTGTTTGGTGTGGTTTTTGCAATATCTGGAAGTTGGTCTTCCTTGTTGGAGATATTTTCAGACAAGGCATGATCAATAATGGTTGTTTTCATTAGATTTTGATCAATATTTGATGAATTGTATTATGTCTTAGTGTTTTCAAAAATAAATATCAATTAAGCAACCAGTTTGATCTTTAAGGATTGTTTCTACTAGTAAAATGAGGATCAATACAATAACCTCCTGTCACTGTGGGATCCGTGGAAGATATGATGTATGTAATTTTTATTCTCAATACTTGTGAAAAATGACTATTATTATTTGAGGTATGTATCCATCTGAAAATCAAACTAAGCAAGTGAGTGATTTTTTTTTCTCGAGTTCAAGAGTTTCTCTTCTTCTAAAAACTCTCCCTCTGCTGAGGAAAATTATACACATCAAACCGAAATAGCGAAACCCTAATAAAATTGTTATTTTAGATAATTATTTTGATCAAACACACTACGCTCAATTTCAAAAACCATACCTAACAAATTTATTAATGTACCTAGCTTCCATTTTTTTTTTTTGAATTTTATTATGATTGATCAGGTCAAAAAAATAAGAAAGCCACCAACTCAAAACATGAATTGTTGTCATAAATGTTTACTTGATTCAAACCATTGATGATGAAAATAATCCAAGTAAAGTGACATGATAAAATAAACGAGTTTGATATGTATCACATTTTCTTTAATAATAATAATAAATAAATAAAAAGATATCAAACCAAAAATTTTCTTTTTAGCATATGGTTAGATCCCAAACTCAAACCACCACCTGATCTCCGTCGAGTATGAAAGAAAACCAAAACAAGAAAGTGTAGATGAACGATCCAAGAATACAACTACAACACACACTTAGTGACTCGATTTCATCTCTCCGATAGTAGATTACAAAAAAATACATGATATTGTACACCTTTTACACAACGAAAATCCTTCTCAATAATTGGGAAACAATAAAAGAAAACGAATAATGAAAAGGAAACATAGTAAATTACATATGGGTTAAATCCACTCGTCAACAACCTCAACTCATTTTCGCACAATCTAATGTCAAACTTGGAAAAGGATAAAAAAAGTGCCATATCGAAAAGAACAAACCTCGCAAAAAAGGGCTTCAAATGATTACAAAGAAAATATATATATATAAGGTACTGAATTACCAGACTAGAAAGCTCTCCAACTATCAGAATCTCTCCTTGGTGTTTGACTCTCCAATGAAATTTTGAACGGCTCACTTGACCCAAATGGATCCGTGTCATCAAAGGATGGGAAACCATGACCATATTCTGAGTCTCTGGTGCTGCGGATGGAATCAAACCTTGTCAAGGAATCCCGTGGTGGGAATAACCCAAGGCCATAATCAGAGTCAGCAGTGCTTCGCATGGAGTCAAATCTTGTGAGGGACTCGGGTGGTTGTGTGAATCCATGACTATAATCAGAGTCTGCGGTGCTTCTCATGGAGTCAAATCTTGTGAAGGACTCACGTGTTGGAAAGACTCCATGGTCATTCATGTTGAAGGAATCAAATCTTGAGAAGCTATCAAACGACTGCTCTTCAGACCCTGCACTGAACCTTCGTGGGGAGTTGTTAAACATGGGGCTGCTCGGAACAGAATCCGCAAAAGCAAATGGGCTCTTCTTCTGAAAAAAACTATCCGCATGAGGAGAGCTTACAGAATTGACAATTGGAGTGCTTGGAACAGAATCTGCAAAAGCCAATGGGCTCTTCTTCTGAAAAATATTATCTGTATGAGGCGAGCTTCCAGAATTGACAATGGGAGTGCTTGGAACAGAATCAAAAAAGAACGGGCTCTGCTTCTGGACCATGTTATCTGTGCGTGGGGGGCCGTTTTTATTGGGCTTAGACCCCAGTCATGGGAACCGAAGAAAGAACTCTCATTATGCCTCTCACGGTCTGTGTCCTGCAAGATCATTAGTTTGAACAGATGATCAATGAAGCCTGAGCAAGTAGCCCAGACATAAAATCCCCCCCCCCTCTCTCTTCAAACAAAAGAACCCCCCCAAAAGAAAGAAAAAAAAGAAAACAGAAAAGGACATCCCTTGACTAATCACATTATTAAGTAGACCACGAACGATGGATCAGAACATACAATGCATGCCTGCAATCTCTCAATGATACATAATACCAAACAATTTTGAACATACATCACAAACTTTTTGTATACCTTGGTAGAAGAAGGGTTAAAGTCCCAAACAGAGTCTGTATCATAATGAGTGTCAAACGATCCCCAGCCTGGTTCATCAAAATTTTTGTCCCCAGAAAGCACAGATTCAGCACCACCATGCTCACTGCACCAGCATCATAGAGTAATTCAGACTTTTGAGTAAAGCAACATGATGCAGATAGTTTGCTCATCAGTAAAACACAGAAAACTAGAGATAAATAAAACCCCAAATAGAGGCCCAAAACCACCCCTGTACCTCTGGGTCTCTGTGGCACGGGGTGAAGCATCTCCACCAATATCTCTCCGATCTTGGAATTTCTTACATGGGCTCTCCACAGCGTTCCCTCTTGCTGGACTTTCAGGTGGACTTCTTACCATACCCTCTTCACTTTGGACACTTGCCCCTTCATCCTCAGGAATCCTTTCCCCAGCGCCTGGTAGCTTCTCTGACTTGACATCAGCATTAGATGATGAAACCACAGTGACACTCTCGCCTGGGAAAGATGCTTTATCTTGAACCAAAGGTGCCTTTGGTTTGGGAGGAGCTACGACATTTTGCACTTCAAGAGTCAGCTCTTTGACAAACGTGAATCCTGGAAATGGAAAGATTTCACAAAACAATTAGTTGGACAAAAAAAAATTACCATGTAGATTTTCATTTCAAGCCAGAACATGACATAGAAGTAGTCGAGACATTCAGAGCCCACCATTAGTGGGTAACCCATGGTCGACTCCAACACTAGGCCAACAAGCCGGTGCTTTAGGCCCCAATTTTAAAAAATGCCCCATTTTGCACATTTTTATAATAATCTTAGATTAAAATTTTAGGCCTTGTAAAAATCTAATTTCACCAAAAAAAAAATCTCATAAAAGTCTAAGGGAAATTTTTTTAATGGTATTTGTTGCACTTTTTTGTTTTTTTTAAAATTATTTTTTTCATACTTATAAGTTATAACAGTTGCTACAGAAAATATTTTTTAAAATTAAAATGGATAAAACCCTACCTAAGATTGAATAGGTCGTAAAGCAATTAAGTGTGTTAGTCATACTATCAGCTATTAATTATATAAAATTTTAATTAGTAATTTAAATCTTAAATAGTGAGACAGAAATTTTAATAGAGAAATGGAAAAGCCCTCAAAATGAGTTATTATCGCTTTAGGCCTTAATCTATCTCATGCTGGCCCCGAGTGGTATCTAACCTTAGGTCAATATAAATGATATCTGATCTCATCGTTTTTTTCCTTAAGTCAATATGCACTAAAACCAACAGGTGACTATTCAATATACCTTCATCTGAAAACTTATCCCAATCCTCATCCCAATCAGCTGCTCCTCCTTGGATGCCAGGTTGCCAACCTTAACAATTACACAATGGAAAAAAATAAAATGAAACAAACTTGATGGAAATAAACTTACGAGCAAGAGAAAAACTGAATCTGTATGCTTTTTTATGCTAAGTGTTAGCCTTAAAAGTTTATTTATTCAGCCTTTTCACATTGACATTTCAGGGGTCATATCAATTTATAATTTTTATATACAGACTGCTCATAAGCCATCCATTATTGGTGGCTATAGATAGAAGTATCCACTCAACTAAACAGAATTGATCATGGGATCCATAAATGCCTTGCTTGGCCTTAAAATAAAATCAGACATTACTACATAAAATTCCTTACGGATCTTGAAAACAAAAACACCAGGTTGAGTAAAGGATTCAAAAATAAAGCCAAAGGACCCAAGTTGCATGCAGAAGGATCTGGAAGGCAAACCACAAGCATTCTATGTACTTAACTCTCATATGTGGGTCTCCACTCTCCAGAAGTGACTGATAAGGGCTTTCTGGGAAGTTCCATGTTACAGGTAATACTTTTTATGTCCCGGGATTATAAATGTTATAAGGAAAAAAATGGTTTATGCTGTTCAAACAAAGCATATGACTGGATGACTCATTAACATGGTAGTGAAGATACCAAACGGAAGCTCAACCAAAGAAGTTGGTTTGGCGCGCAAGCTGTAAGTTTTGCAACGTTCATTCAAATCTTTTACTAGATCCTCGAGATTTAACTGTATGCGATTAGCACGATCCTGTAAAACCAAAAATTTAGAATTCAGACAGGCTTCAAATGTTACCATCAAATCAGTCTGCAACATGACATACCTGAGTGCCATCAACACTACCATCTTGTTCCATTTTGGCAATAGCCCGATACAGCTCCATTTTTTTGTCCTACAAAAAATACAGTGTAACAGTGCAATTTTTTTGTCCTACAAAAAATACAGTGTAACAGTGCAATATAACATCGCCAGAGTAAGACTTGTGGGAAAGCTCAGAAACTTTTGCAGTACGGACATTTAAATGGACCACACAGCAGAAACCAGTCGCCCATTCAACCAGTCATTGACATACCTGAATATCACGAAAAGTGGCCTCTTCAATAGTTAATTTTGAGGCTACATCTCCAGCCTGCTTGTATTTCTCTTCGTATTTCTTTGCCAGTGTCTCGACCTAAAATACAAGTTGCTCGCATTAGTCCAATTATTAGCCAATATTATGCCGCAGATGTAAGCAGTTCCACATATTCAAAGAGATACCTCTCGTTTGTCACCAGAAGCCCTTTCAGTGATCTCATTTAGTCGATTGTCACACCTGCTTTTATATAAAATCTGCACCAAATGGTACAAGTGAAGAGTACGTAATATTAATAATGCATTTTGATTTTGAATGTCCATTGCTCCCAAAAAAAAAGGTGGACTGACCATCATAATGTCATGACATTGCTAGTACCATCTGATTCCTTTGTGAGATATTCAAATAATTATGAGTAAGGTTTGAGCCATAAATGTATCAAGTCAATGGTAGATGCATAAATTACATTCACATGTAAGAGAGGAAATTATTGAAATTGTTTCTCACCAAGTAAATGTAAATGGCATGGAATACATAGAAGTGTAAGAACATCAAAAAAAAATAAAAGCATACTCACAAGTTCCTGCATCTTGGTGTGAAAGAAATTAATTTTCTCTTTAGCATCTAATATATCCTTTTCCAACTCTGCTACCTGAAAGAGGAGGGTTGGGGAAGAGTTAGAGAGATGGATATCCTAAACAACTATCATGGCCATAGAATCAAAATGTTGTTTCGGTTAGTTTGAAAAAAAAAATATTTCGGAAACAAAACAGAAACAAGGAAAAAATTTGGAATTTTTATTTTAAAACATTCCAAAACTTCCAGCCACATTTTTAAACATGGGAATTTCAATTTTCCATCACTAATTTGTTTATCAAAATGAAATTTCAATCCTTGATCAAGGGCATTTCAATCATAAGTGAAGCTTTATATAAAATTGCAGTTCACCAGTAGGGGTGGCCCGAGACATTTTGTGGCCTAAAGAGAAAACAATAAATGAGGTCTTTTATTTTTATTATCAATAAAACATTTTCTGTAAAGTTTATTTTTTTCCTTTTTAAAATGCAAAAAAATACTAATTAAGTTTTTATATTCATGTTTTGCTCCCATATATTCTCAAATTGATACTATTCCTAATTCACTTAATCTTATCTTTTTCATATATGAAAAGTTATTTTCTAGTTGTCATAATATAAATAGATTATCAACAGATCAATCACAAATAATCAAACACAATCTATTAAGAATATAATACAAGCTTGAATTTAAAAAAAAAACAAAATCTAAAGGTATAAAACTATAGAACTTGATTTATTATAATTCCACACAATATTCAATTATCACCCACTGTAGCCCACTAGCCCTGAGGTTGAGCAAGAATTGTCAAGCTAAGTGTGAACGAATTTTGTGTGGGTTTTTCAGAGGATTTATGCTTTACAAGAGCAAGAAAGAAATTTGGCTTTGTGGTGTCGTAGTCACACAAAGAGAGGATTGTGGTACTGCATATAGAGAAAGAGAGAGGGGCCGTGTGTGTGTTATGTTTCAAAATTTTTAAGTCTTATACAAGAGAGAGAGAGAGAGAGAGAATTGAGGACTTGACTGTTCAGTAGCTTTATTTTTACTGTTAGTTTTTCTTCTTTATTTTTTACGGCCTTAAACTTAAGTTTTTTACGGGGCTTATTTATTATGGATTCATATTTTTCATTCGGGCCATATAAATTACGGGGCCTTCCTTAAAAGTGGGGCCCAAGGCTGGCCTTATGATTGGGCCGGCCCTATTCACCAGGTAGAATGCTAAAGGTTTTCTTAAACTAAAAAAATCTGAAGATGTCATCATCATCATGGTATACTTAATACAGATTAACAATTACCATTCAATGTCCCCTTGATTCAAGCATGCTAAAACCTCAGATTAGATAAGATACATAAATTCAGGGTAATGAAACTAATGCTAAAAGGTGCCGCGATTGCTTTACTCAATCAAATTAATGGTTTAAAAAGAACAAATGTATTAATTTGATTGATCCCACAATCAGGTAACATGCTGCCAGCAAAAACAATTACATGGCAAGAACTAATATAAAATCCAGATTTCCCATTTTTATTTTATTTTTCAAGGATCTTAATTCCAAAATCTACAACCCATGCCAACTTGACTTGCACCTTCAGAAAAGATGTAGCAACTCCTAACCAAAGAGTTAGGGTAAGGTAGAAATACCATAACTAAAAAAAATTTAGAAATTCGTTCAAAAAGTGACAGAACTGGTCACCTGAGGTTACATGGCACACAGAACCATGATTTAACTTGAAGAGAACTTGTGCAATATCAACAAATAATTCAAAGATGTTGAAGAGGCAGCCAATATTTTACCAATCAACACAAAAAAAAAAAAAAAAAAAAAAGTAACTAATAAAATAAATATCCAAAAATCAATTAGTTAAAAAAGTTACAAATTATAGAGCAAAGATGCTCAAGACTTATATCAAGACCATCTCACATAACAAGATAACTTCTATCGCAGAATGTAAATATAGGAACAAAGAGACATAATGCACATTATTTTTTTACATTTTTTAATTTGATTATGTAATAAAAACCCATATATTACAGTTTGAGCACATGTTTACATGGCTGGGTGACACACACAAAATGCTAAATAGAACAAGTTGGACATGGCCAAAGATTAATGCCATATCCTGGCACGGTGTAGCAAAACAATGACTTGACTGAGTCATTCGAGAAGTCTCTAAGTCAACCATGAGCTAAGTGAGACTCGTGGTCTACATGGAACATGCACTAGTCTGGGAACAAAAAGTGCCACGTTGAGTACAATTCGGCCAAGTCATATCTATGTTTGTTGATACTTTAAAGTGTGAAACATGCATGCTTACAATGGCTCCCATACCTATGACCTTTTAATGGCAACTATCTAGAATTGCCCAAAAAACCTAGGAGTTAAGCTCTCTGTATCTTGCATTTCCTATCCTCTGACAGGCAACAAGTTGTATGTTAATACACAGAGAAAAACAGAGAGATAAGACAAAGCTAGGTAAGAAACTCTAGCATGATTGGCTAAATCAGTGTTTTAAAATCCGGCCCAGCCCGACAGGTTAACCCGGTGAATCGGTGCCTAAACCGGGCCGGTTCATCTACTAGATTGTTTAGGCACCAAAACCGGAGTAAACCGGTTGAACCGGAAAAAAAACCGTTAAACTGGTCAATCCAGACGAATTTAATCAAACCGGATGGATCATTAAGTTTAACATAAAACACCGAGTTTTGGCCCTTTTGTGCATTTGCCCTAAATTATTTCCCAGCCTCTGCCTTCTTCATCGACGTTCCTCAGCCAGACCTCTCAGCGTGACTCTCTCTCTCTCAGATCAGTCTCTGCAGTGTGCACTGCGAGCAAGACATAGACTAACGCTGTGAAGAACGAGGGAGTCCTTCCACTTCGAAATCGTCATCTTCGATCAAGGCCTTCCACTTCAAAATCGAAAGTTCCGTCCACTGTATTGTTGAATCTGATTTTTATATCTGTGTTGTTGAAATCAAAATCGAAAGTTCCTTCCACGGTATTGTTGAATCTGATTTTTATATATGTATTTGTGAAATTGAAATCAAAGCTTAATTCAATGTTATATCTAATTTTTGATTTGTGTTTTGTAGTTTTCTTATCCTTCTGTATTGTTGAAAAATGAAAAGCCAAAGTTGATTGTGAATTTGTGACAGTGATAAAGGCTTGAAGCCACCACTGATGCTATTTTCATAATTTTTTTGTTATTTTTTAGCCTCTTTATAATTATTTTTTATTTTTTATTATATTATCAGTTGAACCAGTGACCCATTGATTCAGTCCCTTCGCCGGGCTGATGTCCAGGCCGGGTTTTTAAACTATAGGCTAAATTATGATCCAAGTGTAAACCTTGATTGGTCAAGAAATCGAGTCACTTGCACTTGTATTCCTAAGCAATTCACTATAGTATTCCCGATATCAATGGTGTTTTGCACAGTTCTAAAAAATTATGGCAGAAGGAAGAATATAGCAAGCAGCTAAAGGATCTAGAAAGGCAATCTAAATACATTTTCAGAAGACCCATCCAGGGATTACCATTCCTTTTCCTCTCACTGATGTTTAGAACTCCAGATGTATCAAAAGTTGAAGTTCCACATTCAGGAGACAAACATACAGCTACCAACCCAGAAACTAGTTAAATGGAAAAAAGGAGTCTTCAGAAGAAAAATTAAAAAAATAAGACAGATGATTACCTTTTTTTCTGCCTCAGTTGCTTCTTGGAACTTTGAATTCAGTGAATTCTGCTCCTCCGTACTAAGTTGGTCTACAAGATGCTTCTCCAGCACTGGAACTCTGGGCTTTTGTTGACTGGGTTGCGTGGCTTCATCGACCTGAGGAACAGGAACTGGACGTGGTGGTCTTCCTCCAGCAGCAGGAGGGGTTGAGCGTGCAACAGTCACCCCTTGCTGCTGTTGCAAACCTATTCAAGAATTGAAAACAATGATGACGTGATGCGCAGAAATGGATAGTTAATATGTGATCATGGAAACTGAAACATAATGACTAAATATGCTCTTACCAGGACTAGGTCTCCAAACAGTATGGCCATGTGCAGCAGCAGGTTGATTGGAGCCAGGTAACAATGTCTGATCAAACATAACACTACTTGGCAGTACAGCAGGAAGAGGGCAGCCATCCCTGTACCGTTCCATCAGATAGAGAGCAATGCAAAATTCCCGCAAAGAGAGCATGCTGTCATTATCTTGATCAGACAAGTCCCACACCTGCTTCAGGACCTCTGGCTCAACAACAAATATGCCGAATGAATATAATGGGATCAGGAAACATGATAACTGCCTTTGAAGAAAACATCATACAACCCAAATTTGTCAAGATTGTGAGCAACGTGCAGTCGCTCCACTAATAATTGGAAAAGGATGACTCAAAGTGTTGTGCTCAAGTTTAGAAGTAAAATTCTTATATGATCCAAGAAGCAAATGCAAAATATGGTCAAGATATCAAGAAACACATGTTCAGTAGCCACTTCATTCTACACTAAAATATATAAGTGAAAATTATTAAGATTGCTCTAATTGTATGAACCACATATTTCAAACAGATAAAATTCATATATTCTTCCTGTTAGCAAGCCATTAGTTTCATTTTGGTACAACCTCAAGCCAACCTAAATTCAATAATTACAAGACAACAAAAGACACCTTAGTTTTGGCCAAACCTTGATTTTAAGGGGACGGTAGGATATGTTGGTATTTGAGTGGACTATCTACTCCAACCTAATCCATCTCAGTCAGGTAAGCTGCCTACATTTGAGCTACTTTAGTCCAGTACCATGTTCGCTTCAACACCAGATTAAATGGGTGGGATCTGAATTGCACAATCCTCTTTCTGTATTAAAAAAATATCATGTACTAAGTAAAAGAGTGCATCTTATTGTGTGATCGCTGTATACTTCTTAAGTTCAAAGAGAAGTTATACAAGACAACCATTAGTGTCGCTTGATAAGTTTTCATGCACTCCTCCAAAGGTTAGGCCCTGCAGAAGGTGGTGGGTGGATTGGGCTTTCCGGCTTCCTATGATTCTGCAACGATGTTGGGACAAAATTTTGTATGTTTCCCTTGTGTGTGTTCATCAAAAAAAGACAAGTAATGTTTTATTATACAGAATTTTGGACAATTAAGAAACAATACACACAAAAACTAAGTACAACAAAAACAATGATTTTAACATGTATTTGTGCTAAACAAAATAATATAGAATTGGACTTGAGTATATTTGGGAAACAAGTAGTAGCACCGATACAATATAAATTATGAGAGATCCGACTAGGTGGTTTGGGCATCTTTATGGGAGCGAGAAAGAGATATCTATAAATGATAAGGTGAGGGATTTCGATAAACTGAAACTCATTTTAAATGAGATAGTAAATGGATATGATAGTTTTGGATCTAACAGAAAATATGATCCTTGACAATGCTCAATCATAGAAAAGGATTCATACAACCGACCCCAAATTGTTGGGACAAGGTGCAGTAGACTTGAATTGAACTGGATGGAGTTGTGTGTCCAAATTATTCAATCAAATCCATTCCCTTGTTTGTTTGTCGTTCTTAAATTTGTGGGGTCGGAATAAAATGCACCAACAATCTGACTTAGTCCATTGGAATGGGCATGGAATCAATCCACTTCTTTCCTTGTTTATACATCAATATAATCCCTTGACATTGGTTGTCCAATGGTAAATAAATCTTTTTGGAAAATAACCCATCTGAACCCCATATAACCCCAATTTTATCCCACCCTCTCCATCGGATGCCTTATTCCCACCTAAATGGCATAATTGTCATTGTTCATTTGGGCTTCCAATAAGCCTTTCGGGCTAATCCTGAGCCAAAATGTGCAATCCAAACATGGAAAATTTATACAATCAGATAAATCAATCTTCCAATCCAATTCCTTATTTATTTATCGTTCTTAAAGTTGTGGAGACGAGACAAAATGGACGAAAATACCAATTTGGTCTGTTGGAATTAGTATAGGATCCAAGTATCTTATCCAAATCTTGTTCATTTTATTTCAAACTTTGTGTGTTTGAGGCAAAACAAACCAAAATACAGATTTGATCCCTTTACATTTTTTTTTCAAGGATAAATTAGTTTTTTCCACAAAAAAAAAATCAGAACGGGCCAACGCATCACCCCAATTTATTCCCACCCTCCCTCTGGCATAGAATTGTCCCACCTAAATTGCATTCATGTGACGGTTCATCTGGGGCCCAAGATAAGTCTTTTGCGTTTATCCTGGGCCCAATATGCAATCCAAATGTGGAAAATGTATACACTTGGTTAAAATTAATCCAAACTTACGCCTTAATACCCCTCTTATCTTTGAACTAAACACGCCCTAAGAGCATTGATTTGATGATACATCATGCTGCTCAATTATGAGGTGTTTCATGCCAAAACAAATGGCTTTTAGACCAGAATATTGATATTTTACACAAAAGGCCAAAAGTAGGGTGGTGCGGCCAAAAGACAATTATCTTAGTGACCACCACATACTTCAAGCACTGGCTCTTTAAGCATTTCCTTGGATAAAGCCTCTTCCAACTGATTTAGCTAATAGATAAGAATTACTTTTAATTGTTGCCTCAGTATCTAAAAATTAACTCACCCAACGAAACAATTTCATTATGTCTTAGTAATAAAAGATGCAATAACAAATTTTATCACAATGGTTTTTAATTGTTGCCCCCGTATCAGGTATTATCTTTGTTCTTTCTTTTCTCATATCTCCCTTTTCCCTATATGTTTTCTTCTATGTATTACATGGAGATCAACCATCTAGAACTCTGGTTAAGAGCATGACAACAAGAAAATCGGCAACACAAAATAAAAATTGAAATCATAATAATTAGATGGATAGAATAAGATTCAAATCAAGATTTCAATTGGAGTGTGTCCTACCTCGTGGCAACTTCCAACTTAAAAATAGGTTGCGTGCCTGTTCACCACTTATTTTTCCATCTCTGTCTGTGTCTACTTCCACAAATACTTTGCTGTACTTCTGAACATCAGAATGAGTCATCCTTGGCCATGCAAGCTGGGACTGACCAGAAGCAACATTTCCAGCTCGAACGGGAATAGCTGTTGAACCTTGCACCGAAACTTCTTGGTTTTGTTTCACTGTCGAGTGAATTTGCTGGTGCTGACTAACCACAGGTTGTGGACTAGGTGTGCTAGGCAAAGAGTCAAGTGGGTTTTGATTTCCTGTAGGTCGGGGTTGAGCAGAGATCGGCATCATGGCTGATGAGACAGATAAGCCACCAGCAGAAGACGCATGGACTAGAGATTCTTTCTCTGGTTGAGTTGGGCTCGCCGCAAAAACATCTCCAAAAACCGAGTCCGACGCAAAACCATTTTCTGTAACTGCACGTACTTTAGAATCGGTTCCTACCTGGCTAGCAGGCAAAGGTGGATCATTTGGTTTTGGCACAGCAGGTTGCATGAAACTAGTGGTTGTCTGCGATCTAGATTGTGTAGAGGGTGTAAATCCTGATGCAACCGGCCCAAATACTTCCTGAGTTGTGGAAGGACTCATGCTTTTGCCAGGAATTTGGGAAGTAACTCCTGCTGCCGGGCCACCTGTCCTTCCACCAATCCAATCAGCGGATACGTTTGAGCTCGGAGGCCTAGGATATGCCATATTACCACCCCAGGCATTCCTTGATTTACAACACCTGTCTGTGACTGAAACGCAGTACTAGGAGGTGGGGGCCGAGGCGGCCTCATGAATTGAGTTTGCTGAGATGAAAAGCCCTGTGGCCCTCTGATGCCTATGCTTTGAGATGCTGTGGATACAACCCCACTGAACTGTGGGGCAGGAGCACCTGGTCTTAGATTTGGCTGTGGAGCTGGTGAGGCTGCAGAATTTATCTGGGGAGCAGGAATTTTAGCTGAAGCAGGACCATATAATGCCGCCTTCACAATATCTGGGGTCAGATCTCTCTTACTTTGGGCTACAGTGACAAGTTTAAGAGCATTATAGAACTCTGCTCTACCAAGAAAACCAGTTTGATTTCGATCAGCATAGGTCCATATCTGTGTAAAGAGCCACAATGAAGATTTTCTAGTAAGACCAACCTTCTAAATCACATAGATAAGTGACAACTTCCAACGAGTTGCGGAGCCATTATATAGAAATCACAATTCTCTCCTTCAACTAGGGGTGGACGAGCTATGCGTCTACATTAATAAATGTTAAACATGATAATTTTGGGGTTGAAACATGAAAGCCACAAGTGTAAAAGGAAATTAACGAGACAACAAACCCCCATTACCACAAGGAAATGGAGCAACTGCCAGGAAAAGGGAAAAGGTTTTTTGCTCCCATTGAAAACGATCCCTGACCCTATTCACTTAAATCGTCGACAATGAATTGAGATGTATGATTGGTTATGGTTATAGAGCAACAATACAAGTTATGCTTCCCAATTTGTGAATTTTTCACTATTCCCCCCAACTAGAATCCCACCACTGATTTCAACATAAGCCATTCATCTCACTCCATGTGACTTCATCTTTTATCCAACAATGATAAATTTTCAACCATTCACACAAATTGTTCTGATGCAAGAGTAAGATATCTACCAAAACCTTCCTACTTGTGTACTGTTTGCTATTCTTAAATTTAGCCATCGTACGAGGAAATTTCCCGATGTACCTTAAAGCATTCACCCCCCATGTTTCAAATGTGACCAGCTGACTTAATAGTAAGTAAACAACATACTAACATACCTCACGGTGACTGAATTTTCTGGTGTTGTACACCCACTTAATTTTTCAATTTAGTAGAATATATCAATTCAGAAAAACAAGTAGAGCTCCAGTCCAATAACTGGTCACATCATGCTATCCCCATTTTAGACAACATTAACTTATAGAGAGCTATGTGTCACAGTAGATTGTACGTCAAAAATAACAACGCAACACATCAAAATTGAATTGTGTGCGAAATCATATACATGCCAGCTGAAAGTCACTGTGTACACACATAACACCAATTCCATCAATACACAGTGTGTGTGTGTGTGTGTGTGTGTGTGTGTGTGTGAGGAAGTGGCAATTTAAATCAATCAAATCGCAAAACCTAATTGTGTGAGCAATATTTCTGAGCATAAGTAGGACCTGCGCGAGGACTTGTTGGGGCAAATTGGAGCCCTGAAAGAAGGCAACGGCCTCAGAACCACTGATCCGCCCGTCTTGATCCAAATCTGCTCTCCTAAAATACGTGTCGAATTGATCCATATTCTCTCTCTTCTGATTCTTCCTCTGAAATTCCCCCAAAACGACCAAATATAAAGCTAACAAATCGACTAATTATTCAAATTTAATTCACGAAAATAGAGACAGATTGATAAGAAGAATTGGATCTATGAATCGGAGCAGTGAATTGGAGAAGGTGTAAAGAAGATCTGAGACGTTGACGGAGAGGAAGGAGGGTTAGAGAGAGAGAGAGAGAGAAAGGGAAAGAGAGGGGGTTTGGGTTCGTGGGATCGAGAGATTGGTCGGTTTTCTCCTCTCGATGGTTGAAAGAGGATATGAGAGAGGTGGGATTGGATGACGTCAGAGTTTCAATGGGCTTTTCTTCGTGGATGCAGAAGAGCATATAAGATAATAAGACAGTGCCTGTTCGTGATCGATGAACTGGAACACACATGTTTCGTCTAAAATATTTATTTATTTTTAAATTTATTTTTAAAATATTTAATACTTATAATTATAATAATATTATTATTAATTTTTGTTATAAATAGCATTACTTTTTCTTTTTGGTAGATTAGGTTTTTTTTTGTGATTCACACCTAACCACTTACTCTAACAGAGTAAAAGCATGGTGAAGACTTATACATACACACACACCCGAAGCTATCCGATTAGAAGTAGATTAGGTTGACTATTGTTAAAGCTTAATACGTTTTTGTTAATTATTTATATGTTTGGTAAGTAAATTACTCTTTAATTATTTGTTGACTAATCAAAAATGTTTACTCCATAAATAAATATGCTATCTAAATTTGAGATTATATAACTTAATAATCATCCTTTGATGAAATAAAAACACTATCTCTCTTTTTTGTTAGTACGATGGAAGAAAAGTTTGATGAATTAATTTTTTAGTGTTTGGTATTAGATAAAAAGTGAAAGAAAAAAATATATATTTAGTTTATCATTATACTCTTACATATTCACAATGAAAATTTTTTATTATAAATTGAATTTTTAAGATTTGAAAATGTTCAATATTACTTTAATCGGTAATAAAAATAAATAAACATGTATACCAAAAATAATAGTAAAAAATTTTACGTGATAGGATATTTAAGAATGTTTCTTGAAAAATGTGAAAATTTTAAATTGAAATTATGACATAATGTTTAGAAATATATTCAATAACAAAAAAATAATTTGTCCAAAAAATAGCATATCTTCAATTTTCTTCTCACTTTTCTCCCACGAGAACAAAATGTTGGACTGGAGGAAAACACTTTTCCTCCAACTTTCATTTCCCTCCTATTTTTCTTTGAAACCAAACGATGGAAAACATTTATTTGCATTCCATTTTTTCTCCTAATTTTCATCCACCCAAATTTCCTTCAAACCAAACACACTATTAAGGATGACACTGATCCAACGGACACAATCCTACATGCAATGTATATCTTTCTACTTCAAGGTGATTTTGTCACTTATACTCTGTTTGGTATGAATAATGAAAAGTAGGAAGAATATATTTTTTATCGTTCAAATAATAAAAATATAAATGATATATTTTTTTTTCATTTATTTTTAGTAGAATGGATAAAAAAATAAAAATAACTTTTTTTTTTTTTGCTGACTAAGATTATGGGTGATAATCGAGTCGTGTCGTGTCAAATTTGTGTTGAATAATTACGGGTTTGTGTCAAACATTAGTCAAATTTAACTCAACTCATTTAATAAATTGTAGCGTGTCGAGTTGCGAGTTGACCTGTTTAATTTCATGTCGTGTTCATGTTCATATTTGTGTTAACCCAAAAAAACTTTGAATAAAAAAATTTAGGAAAATTTAGAGGTCGGTCCACCCATATGAACTTGTTTGAACTTAAGTCCGTCAAGTAAACTTATTTGTTATGAAGTCTGTTTTTTGTCAATTTTGTCATACTATCCATTTCTTTTAGAAGTGAAATAAAACTAAAAATTAAAAACTCATAAATTTTATGAGTTTGACTACCATTAAAATCTTTTCTCTCTCATATATATCTATATTCATATATAAGTTAAGAGTTTGATTAATATTAAAATTTTACTCTTATATATATATATATATATATAGTAACATTAAAAAAAATAGTAACATTCAAATAAAAAAAAAGTTATCATTTGTAAACAAAAAATAATACATTTAAACACAAAAAAATAGTAACATTTAAACATAAAAAAATTGAAATATTTAATATTAATATTTTTAAAAAATAACAACAGTAACATGTTCAACAAAAATAATAACATGCTTAACAAAAATTGTAACATATTTAACAATAATTATTTTTCTCAAATTCAAACGCAAAAAATAGTATAATTCAAATAGAAAAAATAATAATATTCAAAAAAAAATAATAACATTAAATATTAATATTTAGGAAAATAATAGTAGTAACATGTTCAATAAAAACAGTAACATGGTCAACAAAAATAGTAATATGCTCAAAAATAATAGTAGATGAACAGTAACATATTCAACAAAAGAAGTAACATGAACAATAACATATTAAAAAAAATAGTAAAATGACTATTCCAATTTATAGTAACTTATTTTTATATTTAAATGTTACTATTTTTTTTTAATGTTAATATATATATATACTTAACCTATATATGGATATACATACATAAATAAGAGAGAGGAAAAATTTTAATATTAATCAAACTCTTAACCTATATATGGATATAGATAGATATGAGATAGATATTAACTTTCTTTCAAGGAAGGGTATTTTTGAAATAAAAAAAATATATACTTAAGTCATTACATATAATTTTAAACATGGACTTAGTCTCTTATAAGTTTTCTTGCAGGACTTATCTTCAAATAAATAAATATAGGGGGGACTCACTTTCAATTTTTACAAAAAATTAACACTAATATTTTATTTTCACTTAATTGAATTTATATTAATATTTAAAAACTAAAAATTAACTTAAATAAATATAATAATAAGTAAAAATATCTTAATTATGTTTCAAAAAACAAAGATGCAAGATGAAAGATAAAAATTAATGAACAAATAAATAGAACTCTTGGCCCACCTGAGCTAAATCATAATGTGTCGGTAATTGGGCCCCCATCAAGGGTTGGTAACTTGTAAAAATTTGGAAAAGACAACAAATTTTAATACTATACCTCTAACTTTTATAAAATTTATGGGTGCTTTTGAGTTTATTTATAAGACAAAATTTATAATTTTGTTGGGTCATATTATAATTTTTAAGGTTTGAATTAAGGTAAATTTTACTAACACTTCCTGTATATAGATATAATTTCAGAGACATTTCTTGTATTTTTTGAAATATCAATGACACCCCCATCAATAATTGTTGGATGGCAAGGAAATGAAAAGTGAATGGAAAGTGATATTTTATGAATTTGTCGTTAACACATCATCTATTTTACATAAATAACCTTCAATATATATACATATACTTCTAAATATAAATATATGTCCACACACCTCTAAAGCCTACCATCGTATTTCTTATTCTTATCTCTTTTAGTCGTAGTGATTTATTATTTAATTTTATCAATTTAACACTAAATTAATAGTTATTTTTAAAATTTTAAATATATTTTATGAACTTAATACCAAATTGACATTAAATTTTTCAAATTAGCATTCAATTTCATTCAGTTAACATTAAATTTCAATACATTACATTTAGTTTCATAAATTAAAATTTTAATTTTATCAAATTAACGCAAAATTTATATTTAATTTCATCAATTCAATATTCACTTAACATTCAACTTCACCAAATAAAAATTTGATTTTATTAAATCAACACCAAATTGATTTTTAATTTCTTTGAATTAACATTTAAAATCGTTAGTTTAATAGTCATTTTTTCTCTAATCAACATTCAATTTCATCAAATTAACATTCAAACTTATAAATTTAATATTAAATTTTAAAATTAAATATGATAAAATTAACGACAATTGACCTTCAATTTAACATTCAAACACTTAAATTTTCTCTTAATTGCATGTTTTTTTTTTATTTTAGTTAAATCAGGATTTTCTTAGGTTTTTTGTTGAATTCAAATTTTTATTTTTATTTTTAGGTTTTATCTCTAAAAAAGCATGATGGAGGAAAGAGATAGGAATATAGGGGATGCCAATGAAATTTTTCATTAATAGATAAATATTGCTTTTTGATGTGTCAATGATGTTTTACAAATTGTAAGAGCAATAGTTGAAACGAATTTATAAATCAGAATGACATGATAGTGATATTTCAAAAAATATAGAAGATGTTAGTGAAATTTACCCTTTAAATTATAAATTTTTGGGACTAAGTTATCACTTTCGTAGTAATTTTACTATCGATCTTGAAAATATGAAAAATTGATCACAAGTTGCAATAAAATTATAAACAACCTTAAAAAATTATAATAATAGTAAAAAATTCCACACCAATTTTTATATTTTTTTCCATACCTTGGACTTTTCTTCTATAAATTTGGGCCTTCATGATTGAAGCTTGATTTGTACTTGTCCGATCCATTTATGGCGTGACCATTCTGACCCAACACCAATCATTTGAACATATTTATGGGAAGACTACATAAAAAATTACAGTATGAAACCGACGAAAAATAAGTTAAGGCCCCGTTTGGTTTATAAATTAAGAGGTTGGATTGGAGTAATTTAATCCGGTATTGATATAATACAAATTTTAGATTGGATTATAGTAATTATGTATTAATTTTTCATTGATCCCGACCTTCTGCACTATTATTATTTAACACGTGATATTAGGTATTAATAAATACGAAATTTTATGTGGTATTACTTTTAATAAATTTACTATTAAAAATACAATGATTTTATTACTCTCGTAAACTTAAATCCACACCTTCGTGAAAAAGTTGCACATTATACAAATTTTTATCCAACATTAATCCAAACTTATTATACAAAACATAAGATCGAATAGTACTCTTTAATACCCTAGATTAAATGAGAACCAATTATCCAATCTTATCGTTTGTTTATATCCTAATGACATGTTTCAATTATTTGAATTTAACCACTTCACTAATAATTTTATCTAAATTAAATCATTTAATCAACTTTAGTCGATAGAACGAACAGAGATAAGTCACATATTTGACACGTGGCCGTTCGTATCGTGTGTTGCCAATAATTATAATTAAGATAAAATTAATAATTGAGAGATTAAATTAAAATAATTAAAAATTTTAAAATTATTTTAAAATAAAAGATAAAATTTAGAGACTTTTTACAATATTTATTCTATTCTGAATCCACCGGTCCACGAGATTAGTGGGTCGGTGGTTTTTGTAAACTATAAAATAATTTTTTTTTATTAACTGTTCACTAGATAATGGCAGTTGGCTAAGCATACCAACGGATCAAACCACCTCACCCCTATTTGATTACTCCATTTTACCAACTCATGGCGCAGATTAGCAAGAAGGGCAAAGTCGGAAAGTAACACAACTCAACCTTTAAAAGCGAAAGCTCAAACAAAGACCATTGAAAGAAAGAGGAAATAATGAAAAAGTAGAGAAAAGGGGGGAGAGTCCTGTCTTGAACGCCACAATCACACACACACACACACACCATAAATCTATAATAAAATTCAACCAACAGTCTCTTCACTTCCTTCTCAGGTTAAACTTCTTCTCCAAATCCACAACTTTTTTTCTCTCTTCAAACAACGGTAACCGGAGATTCATCGGAATCCGATTATTGATCGAGGATCGGAAAATCAGACGGGGGAGAAAGAAGAGGATTAAGTATCATGTCGTGCTCGTCGTCGTCGGGGTCGTCGGAGGAGGATGAGGGGATCGATTCGTACAGGAAAGGGGGGTACCATGCGGTGAGAGTGGGCGATGCCTTCGCTGGTGGACGGTACATCGCTCAGAGGAAGCTCGGTTGGGGACAGTTCTCCACCGTCTGGCTCGCTTACGATACTAGATCATCTGTATGTTCTTCGATCGATTTCCAATCTATTTCTCTATATGATCGATTCTTTATTTGATTCTTGATTTTGGATTTACATCTCTAAATAATTTTCAATTGTCCTATTATTATTTCACATGATCTATCTTTGATTTAGACATAGCTATATTTTAATTTTTTTTCTGAATTAAATTGTTCTTAAAGCTTGTAAATATGTCAGATTTATGCTTACATGCCGGAGATCATATGTATTTTTTTTTTGAGAGCTTTTTGTAGTCGCTTTATAATCGTGTAGTATTATATTTCAATACGTGATCAATAGAATGTATATTAATGATTGCCCAATTTGGATCACTATTTGTCATTTATTGGCTTGTATTAACTATTTCACCATTCCATAGATATATTATAGTATGTTATTTGGTCTGTTTGTTTATTACATTTTGAGATGGCTTATATTTTTGGATTGCTCGCATTAGACTAAATTGTTTTAAATTGTTCTATCCTGATGAAGACTTTGGATTATATTTGTCCACTTTCTGCCTATCCCATCTTTTTGCACACATACTTTGAGAATATCTATTAAACATATGACTACAAAGAATGATGAAAGATTGAGGTCTTGCCAAGTGCCAACCTCGAAAGCTCAGACTTGGTTATGCAAAATAATGAAGCTTTTGTTGATGTAGGATATAAGTCAAACTAAGACCTTAAGGTATTATGTTATGAAACTAATTTTAGGTGTTATTGAAGTGGACAATTTTTATCGTTCATTCCAATGCACAATTCATGGCATGAGTGGCATTTTTTTAAAAAGGGAAAATGAACCAGAGGTCCACGAAATGGAACTTGTGAGACATTAAGCCCAAGCAAACAACTTTTCAGTCCAAAAGGACATTAGACGATCATCCATTTTTCAGTCCAAAAGGACACTAGATGCTCATCCATTTATCCGCACATCCAGTAAAAAGACAAATTTGTTCTTTTCTATCGACTAGACGCCCAACCATTTATCTGCACTCCGTCTCCGATGCAACAGTAGGTCCCCGCAAAACCTGTGGTTGCAGACATTGCTGAAGATCTTATCATGTTATGGCAAAGTGATTTTCTAATTTGTTACAAAGTGTGATTGGTCTCAAGGAACAGGCCAATGATTATTACATCTAAGCTATGATTTTAGGATTCTTTTGCATGTGATTAACAACGAATGAACTCTGTGTTTGTGGAGATCTCCAGAGGTTCTTGCTAAAGATACACAAAGGAAGTTTTGGCTCAAGTTTGTTGATTTGGTTAGGTCAAAGTTGGAGTTTGGTGTCTATATAAGATACATAGATGGAGAAGAGAGAGAAAACAGGAGAGAAATGGAGAGGTGTGGGAAAAGAGGAAGAAAGATAGCGAGTAATTTAGATCTTTATCTGAAAATCTTTTTAGAATAAGATTAGGGTAGTTTTGTGTCTTTGGTCATTAAAAAAATTTTCATCGTTAGTTTGGACTTAATGACCTAATTCTTTTTAAGTAAATGTACTTTAGGCCTTAAAAAAGTTGTGATTGGATTTATTGACTTAAAGGTATATAATTTGTCCTTCTAAACAATTTTCACTTTTTTTAACAATCCCGACAGTCATGATGATAGATTTCTATGGTCAATGTCGTGTGAATCACCATTATGTCATTCGACTAATTCATGGTATACACATTTCTACATTTGCTTTCTGTCTGGACATATTTATTCCAGGTAGCTTACTGTTTATAGGTCTTGCTGCCAATCACTACAGTGAATTTGGGGCATAATCCGATGATTAGAATTGCACTAATGCTATTGGAACATAATTAGGGATATAATTTGGGAATATAATGCATTGCAACCATTGGACTGATAGTGGAGTGCATTTAATGCGGGAGCCCATTGATAATCTAATGACCACAATCATTATGTCCTTAAATTTTTGAGAAATAACATTGCTCTTAGAAATGAGATTGTTCCAAGTTCTATCACAAAGACAATTACAACACTGACACTAACAAAGTGATTGTTGAGGAAAAAAGCCAATGACATAGTTCTTATGATTGGATGCGGTGTTTAATCTAAACAAGCTATCCTAATTAGAGCAAATTTTCCTTTACAATGGGACACCTGTTGGGTCAATGAATCAGTGATGTCGAATATTCTGTGAGCATCTACTTTCTGAAACCTACTCTTGGACAATGACATTCTTGAGGATACCACCGTGACTCTAAACACTAATTCAGGTTCATAAGCCTAATTTTATAGTACTAATGTTTGCTTCTCTTATGTGATGCCCTTATTTACATTGTTCTTCTTGCTGATTCTTTTCTCTTCTTGTAGATATACGTTGCTCTTAAGATCCAAAAAAGTGGACCTCAATTTGCTCAAGCTGCTCTCCATGAGATTGAATTCCTATCTGCTATTGCCAAGGGTGACACCTCAAATTGTAGGTGTGTTGTACAATTAGTTGATCACTTTAAGCACGCTGGCCCAAATGGACAACATTGGTGCATGGTTCTTGAATTTCTTGGTGATAGCTTACTCCGGTTGATCAGATATAACCGTTATAAGGGCCTTGCATTGAATAAAGTTAGGGAAATTTGTAAATGCATTTTGACTGGTCTGGATTATCTGCATAGAGAACTTGGTATTATGCACACAGACTTAAAACCTGAAAATATTCTTTTATGTTCTGCCATTGATCCTGCCAAAGACCCAATTAGGTCAGGGATGACTCCCATTCTTGAAAGGCCCGAAGGCAATCCAAATGGTGGAGTAACCATAAATATCATTGAGAAGAAGTTAAAGCAGAGAGCAAGGAGAGCAGTGGCTAGGATATCAGAAAGGCGAGCTTCAATGGGAGGGGTAGGAGCACATCCAAAGCCTGACAGGTGCCTTGATGGGATTGATGTGCGGTGCAAGGTTGTGGATTTTGGAAATGCATGTTGGGCTGATAAGCAGTTTGCAGAAGAAATTCAAACAAGACAGTATAGAGCCCCTGAAGTAATACTGCAGTCTGGATACTCTTTCTCTGTTGACATGTGGTCCTTTGCTTGTACTGCCCTTGAGCTTGCTACTGGCGAGATGCTGTTCACCCCAAAGGGTGGACAAGGTTTCAGCGAAGATGAGGTACTATGGTTTTCCTCCTAATGTATTACGCGTAGAAGCATAGCGCACTATGTGTGGCTAGATCATTAGGAATTTCTCTCCCAACTGGCTGAAATATTGAACATATTTCCAGCATTTATTTTCTGAGGTAGGATACAAATTTCTTTGGCTTGCAAATGAGAGAGAAAACTGCCAATATAAGGGAAGGAAGGCTGTCACTTTGTTTACTTTAGGTCTTATTGAATTGATATACACTAAAATCTTGTTTGTGTAAGTTGTTGTCAAGAACCTGTAATTGAAACCAATTTACCATGGGCAATGCACTCACCCCATGACATCAATCCAAAACCAATTTCTTATCAGACCCGGAGCGATGGTAAATAATCGTCTGTCCAAGCAATACGTTGCAGTTTCAGTTTGGAAATCAGCCTCTCTAAAATAGGAGTAATGTTGCCTATCACTTACCTCTTTCAAACTCCACAATGAACAGAAGTCTTGTGCACTTCATACAATTTTTTATTTTTTTTGTGTAATGGACATTATTGTAGGACTTGGTGTTTCTTAATGAAGTGGGCTTCTTTGTATCTGACATATGATTCTAGATGATGCAGTACTTTTTTATTTTCTGTTAATAACTTCCTAGGGATTCTTTGTCTTGTACTTCTTCATGCAGCAGGCAGATTATTGAATGGTTATTGCTGTGAAACCTATACAAGACTATGCTTTCCAGTATTATTAGGCTTTTATATTGTTTTCTATTTGTGGCATTCATCTGTGAGAACTTTTATCTGGAATGAAGTTTTTAAGGATTCTGTTGTGAAATACCATTTGTTGGATGCAGGATCACCTTGCTTTAATGATGGAACTCCTTGGAAAGATACCTAGGAAGGTGAGCACAATATATCCTCTTCTGATTTTTTGATAACTATAGCTGATGCCTATATCTTTACACTTCGGTTGTAACAGATAGCCATAGGCGGGGCTCGATCCAAGGACTACTTTGACAGACACGGTGATCTGAAGAGGATCCGGAGGCTGAAATACTGGACACTTGATCGATTACTGGTAGATAAGTACAAATTTTCTGACTCTGATGCTCGTGAATTTGCAGAGTTTCTCTGTCCCATTCTTGATTTTGTGCCAGAGAAACGACCAACTGCTCAGCAGTGTCTGCAACACCCATGGCTCAACACCAAGAACATAAACCAAAAGGAGTCAAAGAGTGAATCTAGTGCTGAGAAAGTGGATGTTGGGATGAGCAACCTTAAGATTAAGGTGGGTAAGTGAAGAAGGGGTTGAAAGTTTTGTTAGTGCAATATCTCTTCCACATCCCTCTCTCCACCTGTATAAGTTTTGCTTGTGATTTAACTCCCTTGTTTGTATCGAAGTCTGAATAGATTTGATTTTTTGATTAACGAAGATGTAATATAGTAAATGGTTATTGTGAAGAAAATGACATCCGATAGAGAAATTTGACATCTAGATTGGATACTTTAGCTGGGGCGCTTGCCAGAGTGTAGATGTCTAAAGTGTCCATGGCGAGCAAATCAATTGATATTGACATTCTTCTTGGAAAGTTTATCGCCACGGTTAAAACTGAATGTCAAAGTTTTCTTTGGGCCTTTGAAGCACAGTAGAAACTCCAAAATCAGATTGATGCCAGCATCTTCGCTCTTGGTTTGAGAAGCAGCATGTGGTCAGTGAGGAAATCAGTCTCTTTTCAAAGAATTTTATTGCGATGATCAGGATGAACCTTGGCATCGGCAGCTTCATCTGTCAAATAAGATGGAAGAAATTTCTTACCCATTGATGGAAAGATTAGCGATTAGATCTGGAATGGTTGATAGAAGAAAAACAGAAGACCTAATCTTGGAGAGCCTCGAGAGCGTCGTGGAGTTGGACCCTCTTCTACATTCTTACCTGGTAAATCACTTACTACAAACTTAAGTGGACTGATTATATATATGTAGATTCTCCATGATTAACCGATTTGACCTGAGCTGCTTTGGATGTTTTCTAAGAATTTTTAGGAGAATTTTTTTTATTACACGAGCAGTAATTGAAACTCAAAACTCTTCCTGAATATTTCAGATTTATGTTATTAATTTTTTCCCTCTTTTAATCAATAATTAGCGTGAAATTGGTTATACATAATGGAATAATTCTGACACTATCTGGGACTATTTTGCTTTTATGAATAAAAAGGGTTAAAATCCTCCATGACTACATTAGTCATGACCTAACTGAAGCCGGTTGAAAGTTTCATTATCTTCACATTACTCTGGAAGCTTATTATAAGCTTCGTCCCTCATGGTATGATTAGCCCTGTCATCCTACGGGTTGCTTATTTTTGATGGGTCATGTGAGTGGAACTGCATAGCCCCAAAGAAATTTGGGTACCATTCTAAAACAGTTTGTAGCCGTAGATTTTGATGTGATTTATTTATAATTAATTTTAAAAATAATTAAATAGGATAATTTTACGTGTCACATTAATTGGCACTTATACACTAGTCAACACGTGCATTTTTTTTGTTTTTTTTTTTGTTTTTTGTCATGCACTATTACATAGGAGGCGGACGACGAGAAATGTATTTGTAATCTTAAGGTTCAACAACAGGAGTGATGAACTATTAGACCAACTGTTAATTTTTTTTAAAATTTTCATTTCATTTCATTCGACAAATTCATATAAAAAAAATCTTATAGAGATCAAATCCCACGTTACATGTCAACTTCCTTGTCTACCTCAAAAACAAAATTGAAATGAATACCTTAATAGCTCCAACACATGCCGTTGATCCCTAATTAATGCCTTAGAGACTAGGGGACTTATCTCTTATCTCTCAAACAATGAAAGGAAAGAGACGGTGCTTCTGTTTTACTTTATTGTTTGTTTTTTGAGACGGATGAAATGACAATTATTACTATCATTTCATCGTTTTTGTTTGGTACGATGAAAAAATAAAAAATTAGAAGATATAAAATTGAAGAGATAAATAAAATATTATGTTTTGTAAGAAAAGAAAATAGAAATGATGAAAAAGTGAATGAACTAACTTTTTTTTAACTCACCAAAATCAATCTTTCCAAAATTGGAAAAAAAGTAGATAGAAAGTTAATTATTTGTGTTGAGATGTGTCTTATTTGTCTATATATATTTTTATATAGACATATATTATATATACATTAATTTTATATAAAAATACAATGATAAAATATGTATATATATATTACAAAAATCTAAAAAATAAAATAAAAATTTTAAATTTAAAAAATATTTTTTTCAACTTAGCTGAGAGTAAATTTTTTTGACTCAATACGATGACACGACTCGAACTCAACATGAATTTTGTGACACGAACTCGACACAAACTTGAAAATAACTTGACACACAAACAAGAAATATAAAAAACTCATATTCAATTCAACCGGTAAAATTCAAAATTGACACCATCAACCCGTTTATTTAAAAATAAACACTTTCTCTATTTTCTCGTTTGTATGGTAACACGAAATTAACATGTTTAACTACTATTATAGACATAAAATATTAATTATTTGTAACTATTTTATTAAGCATTGACATAATTATTATATAAAAAAAATATTTTTACTTATTATTATTATTATATTTATTTAAGTTAATTTTTAATTTGTAGAAAAAATATTAACATGGATTCAATTAAGTGAAAATATAATATTACAGTTAATTTTTTTATTCAAAGTTTATGTGGGTCAGCATGAATACAAACATGTACACGACACAAAAATAAACAAGTTAACTGGCAACTCGACACGACACAATTAATTAAATGAGTTGAGTTAGGTTTAACTAATGTTTGACACAAATCCGTAATGACTCAGCACGAATTTGACACGATATGACTCGATTGTCACCCTTATTTTAGCCAGCACAAAAAAAAAAATTAATCATTTTTATTTTTTATCCATCCTACCAAACACAAATGAAGGAAAGTGTATTATTCATATTTTTCTTCTTTGAACGATAGAAAGTGTATTATTCCTATTTTTTTTTTGAACGATAAAAAATGTATTCTTCCTATTGTCTATCATTCCTACTTTCCATCATTCTTACCAAATGGACCACTGGTCTCTCAATTCATTTCAATAAACTTTATTTTTAATTCTCTTAATATTTTATGATTAATTGTTAATAAAATTAGAACCTATTAAGTTAAAATGGGTCCACCATCAATATAATGAATTTATAATGAAATGAATTCAAATCCCTAATTTATTTATTTTTAAAAAAAGAAAGGATGCAAGAATCCAAACAAAAAAGTTATGCTTGTGGAGTAATCTTTTTAAAAATAAAAAAAATTAAAAAAGAATAATACTATTTAGTATTAATTTATTTTCTTAATTGGAGCACGATACTATTCCATGAATGTAATATATTAGATTAATAAATTAGGTTCTACCGACATTCTTCAGCTTGTCCTTCAGCCTTTGCTTTGACACGTGGAAACTCCAAGCACAAACAAGAGCATCTCACTCCTACCTTAGAAAAATCCGAACGCAAACGTTGTACCCCACCATTAGTTGCAAAAACATTGCTTTTATAAACAAAACCAGTATGCAATATCGTAAGTCATAGGAAGGGTGTGTCGGCTTATCAAAGTAATAGTTGATGAGAGGGATAGCTCAAACTTCAAGTCACAACTACTTAAAAGGTGAATTAATTTCCCAACTATCATAATTCTCTCGTTACTATAGTTTTTAATTTATTCATCAACTTATTATGATTTTTATTAAAAAAAAACTTATTTTTAAAATATGCTTTTAAGTATTTTTAATTTTTTTTATCTAAAATCTATTTTAGCAATACATTTTTATACTACAAAATATAAAAAAATTGATCAATTAAGAAATTAGTTAGAAATTAAAATAAAAGACTAAAAGGAACGCAAAATTATCAAATCACGATAGTTTTATATTGAAAAAAACTCGACTTAAGATAGTTGATATGAACAATTTATATTTTACTAATTTGTAAATGGTCAATAAGCGTTTGTTGTAATATAGTAGATTTTAAATAATATGAGGTCTTTAAAAAGGTTAGATCGTAATTTTTTCTCCGGTGCAGAGAATAATATGTGCACACCATAATAAATTAATTTTATTGCTAATATTTCAAGGTATAAAAGTAGATTGGTCACATATATTCTTCAGGTAAAATATGAAGTCCTTTAAAAAATTAAATGGTGGCCGAAAATTTCCTAGAAACATTACCCCCTAATCTAATATGAAATTGACACAATAATTAACATATGTTTGAGTTTAACTTTAACGGGCTAGTGTACAAGTGATCCTTGAAAAACCTGTCAACTAAATTAGTCGAAATAAATCTAGATACACATAATATAAACTAAGTAAAAATCTTTTTTTTTTTTTTTAAAAGGAAAGCTAAACAAGGTTACACATGACACATACCCGATACATACAATTATAAATGGATCTTACATAAATTAAGCAAATTTTAATGTGACAAAATTTACACGGTTTAGAAACCCCACTAGACAGGTCACATTGATAATCTTGACAATGGGTCTGCAAACACATTAGAGAATTGATCAGGAGGACAGATTGGTAACATGGAAAGTAGGAAAGAAGGAAAGTAAGAGGGATACACTTTCTATCCTTCAAGGATAGAAAGTAAGAAAGATAAACTTTTTTTTCTTTGTGTTTGGTTGAATGGATGAAAAATAAAAATGACAATTTTTTTTTTTTGGGTGCTAATTAAGATTAGGAATGACAATCGAGTTATGTCGTATTAGATTCGTGTTAAGTCATTACGGGTTTGTGTCGAATATTAATCAAACTTAACTTAACTCATTTAACTAATTGTGTCGTGTCAATTTATGAGTTGACCTGTTTATTTTCGTATTGAGTTCGAGTCGTGTTATCGTGTTGAATTGAAATTTTTCACTCTTAGTTAAGATGAAAAAAATATATTTTTTTTAATTTAATTTTTTTTATTTTTAAATTTATATATATATAAATACATACATATTTTATCATTGTATTTCTATATGAAATTAATATATACACAATATATGTATATATAAAAAAATATATAAACAAATAAAATACATCTCAACACAAATAATTAATTTTCCATTCACTTTCCTTCCGATTTTGGAGGGATTGATTTTGATGAGTTGAAAGAAAAATTAATCCATCCACTTTTTCATCCTTTCTACTTTCCTTCCTTATCAAACATGATGTTTTATTTATTCCTCTAACTTTCCATCATTCCATTTTTCCATCATACCAAACAGAGCATTAAAGTACCATTTCTTATCCCCTTCCATTTATCCCTATCTTTCCCAATGCTTTGAAATGTGTTGAGAAGAGTGAATGTCTAACATCTCTTCTGGAAAGCCATCAAACCAGGGTGCATGCAGTTGCCCCTCGACTGAAGGATGAGAATGGCTTCAAGACAGATTTAAAGTCACCCACAGAAACTAAAATAACTGGCATAGACCAAGATCACAACCAATATTGCTCGGAAAATCATGACAAGATCAAAACATTCCTTAGGCAAATACAAATGACCCAATTGACATTGTTTATCGCAATGGGATAGAGGCACTCAATTATTTCACATTTGCTTGCTGACCAGTTCCAAATTATGCTCCTATTCTACAGCAATGCAATCAAGAGAACTGTTTGAAGAAAAATGCATGATGCAATACCAGAAAGCCTGAAAATTGATAACTTAAATTATAGCAGACAAAAGACCAAAAAACTATCGAAGGCAAAAAGAAATCTCCGTCTTTCTATAAGGCAAAAAAATAAATAAAAATCGTTCCGATTCTTTACATAACCATATCAAACATAATGGACCAAAATGTATGAAAGGAAGACCACGATTATAACACCTCATGCTCGCCAACACTACAGATCGCGTGACTTACATCTTCAAGAATCAGCTCACAAGCAAAAATAAGGCAGCAATTTCTCCTCAAGTTGACACAGCCTGTCATTGCTGACAAAAATTTAATTACCCATCAAGTTCATCAACATGAAGATTTCATATACATAGATAAGATATGTTGCGACGATAAGATAATACAAGGGGTATGTCTGGCTGGTGCCACAAACCCAAGAATTTTTTCTACCCCCAACACACAGAAAGAGATTCATAGAAGATCAGTTTATCAAATTGACTATGATGATAGAACAGCAAAAATGATGTCCTGTGCATATTGTAAATTGAACCTGTTCCAATTTTCCTAAGCTAAAAAGAATGACAACTGCAGCACTGTTTTTCTAAATAATTCTCTATCCAAACAAATCTTATGGGACTTTCTGTGAAAAAAAAAAAAAAATCTTACGGAATTCTGTACTTGCATCAGGCTCATGCATGACCTATGTCTACAAATAACCAAATGAAAAAGGAATCAAGCAGCTAAAGGATACAATACCAAAAGTTGTAACATTATATAGTACAATAATAGCCAGCACATGAAGCAAAACAAATGTGCAATATATCAACAAAATTTATTCAATCCATCACAACTCTTGCATATTGTCACTTCAAGCTTTGATGCCCAAAGAAAGACATAGGTAATATCCCGAGATGCAGTGACAGATGCAGGCAAACAAATTAATATACATTTTAAGTTAGTTCAAATCATTACATTTCCATTAAGAAACAAAAACACAAACCGTAAAAAAGGTCATATCCGTAACAAAGCATAAATGAATCCTACCTTTCTAACAACTTCTATTTTGTAGCCACCCATTGCTGCAATGGGATCTCAACATTATGATTGCATGACTTTATTCGGTTTAACACATGTGGCTGCCTTGAATGCCTGGCACTTCCACATCGATGTCCTCTCAACTGGTATCACACCATCTTCAGAAGGTCCTACTGAAAACAAGGACCTATCGCCTGTCGCAACTTTGCTTGTGTTCTCTTGAGTCAGCGAAGAGCTTCTAGAATTCAGCTCTTCCTTAGGGTTTGCTTGATCCCGAAAACTACAAATGCTTAACGGCAACTTTTTTTGCTTAATTCTTCCCCTCTTTCTACCAATGCTACATTCATCATCCATTGCTTCCTCCGATTTATCCTTCACGTTATTTGTTCCCACTTGCCCATTATCCATCTTTAGTCGGTTAGCTTTGTTGAATTTTGATATATTCTCATCTACTCTAACAGTGTATGCATCCTGAGTGGAAACATCAGAATCCACATCACCCGCGGCGCCATTTCCATTGGCTGTAGCAGGTGATTTCCCTTTCCATGCTCTACCTCCATTGTAAACCCTAATTTTCTCGGAAGACGAGCTTTTAAGCCTCTTATGTTTAGTGCCCTTCAAGTCAGAACTAGAAGAGTTCTTCGAAATTCTTGGGGAGCTGTTCATGGCCTGATGCAGCCTCCGGGCTAATTCTTCATCAGTTTTGCAATTTTCAATCCCTTTTTTCTTGTTATACAACAGCTGAACGGGAACATGCTTCTTCATCTTATTCTTCTTCATAATTCTTTCTTTGGAACCTGTCTCCTCAGAAACAGTTGCAACCAATTCCATAGCACTCTTGGCAGCAGCCAATGCCTTTGCAGCTATCACAGCCTTCTCTTCAGCTGATGCTCTAGCAGCATCCGCGACCTTGACTGCCTCTACAGCCGCCAATCTTGAGGCCTTAACAATCTCATCATTTGAAGCATTAGGATTATTCAAATGGAATCTCAAAAAACTATTAAGCCGTGCATCAAATTCACTGGGTGTACTAGAAGTCGATGGTGTATGCAAATTGCCATTGGTATGCAAATTCCCATCCAAACTCTGTTTTTTCAGTCCGGCAAGAAGCCGCTTTCGGGGAGGCAAGAGGACATCAGCGTCCAAGTGATTGATATCGCATATATTAGGTTCCATTATTCTCTACATCTACGTATAAAGCGATCACCTTGATAGCATTCACACTACAAAGAACAAGAACAATCAGACCTTTAGAACGAAATCCACAACTACACCGACCAACCAATCCACAATTGTGAAAAATTAACCAAACCCACATCAGATTTCACGTATTTTTTCCCAAAAATCAACATCAACCCAATCACCACCAAAGACTAATTAAACAAAGTAATTGAAACTCAAAATCTAACAAAAACAAATGTAGCATAGCATTATTCTTACCCAGGTATGAAAAACAGAAAACTTTCCTACTGTTTTAATATCGAGACCCAAATTTGATTATAAGAAAACAGAATTAAGAGCTTGATGCAAGAGAATTATAAAACCCAATTGAACTTAGATTTATCCAAGAGAATTAAAAACTGCAAGAGTTGAATGTAGAGATGAGGATTGAGAAAGGTGTAATACCTGATCTTGTCATCTTAGAGACACAGAGAGATAGAGAGAAAGCGGTGATTTGAAATTAGGGTTTTCAGAGAGAGAAAGAGAAAGCGAAAGAAGAAAATGGTTAGCAATCCAGTGTGAGAGAGAGAGAGAGAGGGAGAGAGGAGGAGAGAGAGAGAGGGAGACAGTATAAATTAATCATATTGCGTCAGAAAGAATTTCGATTGGTCCTGGTTATAGAAACCCAAAAAAATGGAAATCCCGAAAATTAGTAAAATACAAATTGTCGGATTTGTCCTCATTTTTAGACTGTAATTACGATAATGACATCACCATGGCCCTGTCCACCTTTATAACTTCTTAGGGGAAATTATGTTTTATATCCTCCAATTATGCATTTGATTTCATTTTATACCAGATAAATATGAGTCAAATCTACATAAAAATGGAAACAAAGTCGTATAACCAAAAATGTCTATAACAAATAAATCAACGTAGCTATTTTGATGACATAAACTGCAACATTGGAGTCAATTTAGTAAAATAATCACCCCCAACTAAGGCATCTGACAATTTTTCAAAGGAAAAGATTTTTGAAAAGTAATCAAAATAGTAATAGGGATGAATTATAAATTCAAACATTATAAATTCAAATCTTGACAATCACTTGAGGTTAAGCGAAGAGAGATTTAAAATTCCTCATCAATACTCTAATCTCGGCATGAATGGTCTGCCTTTGATCGGACTAAAGAGGAGATTAATCGAAATGTGCATAAATTGGTCTGAATATTTTTGACGGTTGAATAAAAAATATAATAATAATTCAAAGGAAAAATAGAAGACAATTGGAAACTTTACTAGCCAAAAAAAATAATGTATCCATCTTTTATCCAAATTGGATTGTACTTTACGACATTGCATTGACATTTTGACAAGGTGTGAAAACTAGTAGTTAACGAAAAGTACAATATTTCGTGCAAAAATATTCAAATTCGAATGCATTGACAATATTTTTTATTTTAATTTTTTACAATATTTGTTTTGTTAATTTAGCCCGTAGAATTCACCCACTACTTAAATAACTTATGAAAAAGCATCGCGTATGTGACTTGTAATTGATTTTACTAGTATTTATGTTGTGGTGCTTACAAAACAAAGTGTGTATACATAGATTACAATATGTTAGGTAATACTCCATCGTGAATATCAAATGAATATCTCCCAATGGTCCACACCCCATCTCTCTAGTTGGTATTGTGTTTGAACTTTGAACCCAAGTATGATGTTGTTCAAGGTAAGAGTCAACTAGTTTTGATGAAAAAGAGTATGGGATATTCCATATTCGAATTCGTTAATAATTTAGAATTTGATCCGAATAAATTAATTAAATAAATTTTAACAAATTATACATAAATTTCAACTATTTTTTTAAATAATCACTTAATTTATTTACTATTTATATAAAAATATATACATAATTCGGATCGGATCATAATCGAATCGAATATAGGTACATACACGTCCGAATTTGTAAAAAATATAAAATATCGGATTAGGGTTCATATTATCGATACAAAAAATAATTTATTCATATCCAGTTAATCGAATTCGAATTCAGATTAAATTAAAATTAAATTTTGATCCATTAACTTGCCTACTTAAGAGTGTTAATCGAGACGAACTACTCGATCTTGGTTTAGGCTCGACTCAGATAAAACACGGGTCGAGCTCAACTCGTATTCTAAATTAGCTAAATTTGAATAATTTTTTAGATTCATTTAAAAAAAGGGGTATAAAAGTTTCAACTTATTTATATGTAAAATAGTCAAGTTATTTGGACTCGGCTCGAGTTTTAAACGACCCAAGGTTGAACAATTTTTTAGGCTTATTTTTTTAAACAAGGTTGTCAGATTCGGACTCAAACTCGTGCAACTCGATTCAATTAACATTCCTATGCCTACTGTAGAATAGGCATGCCAATAGATCGAATTTGAATTATATTTTACATGGTTCAAACAAATAAGTTTTATTTTGATAGAGTATATTTAGCTCGAAAATAATCCGATTCAACAACTCGAAGAACCTTAATTTCAACTCAATTCCATCTAATAACCAATCCATTTTACCATATAGTTATAGACATATATACAACTTGAACCGAGCATTGGTCTATGCAAAAATGAATTAGGATTAGTAATTAAAAATAATTATTTAGATATTCAACTAACAAAATTTAAACTTGAATCAAACTCAATCAATTGAAAATTTGCAATAGACCGGCCTTGGTTTGTGGGCCTCACACTCCACTTGGTAATTGAATAGAAGCAGTGAGGGGTAATTTGGTAAAATTGTATCTATCAACTGATCCGCAAATATCTCATGAACTTTTTGTAAGAATAACTGGCAAAATGGAGTGACCCGAAAACCATGTTACCTGCGGGGTACGTAACCATTTCACCGAACCAATGAAAAACCAATTGCATAATGTCCCTTGCCTGCTCAATCCCCGATATATATTGACTATAACGGTTACACCACATTAATAGTGTTACATAAAGTTATGCAATAATATTGATATCGATACAATACCTTCATAAATTCTGACTTTAATTTTAAATTGAATGATTTGATAATTTTTAATTAAAAATAATAAAAAATTATTAATGTTTTGTATTTTTATTGGTTAACAATTGAAAGTGCAATACTTAAAAAAATTACTTTCGGTACCGTAATGCGACCCCAATCAGACAACACTATGGTATCGATGAAGAAATTTTGACAACGTACCTCGAAATTTTACAATTTCCGTGGGCTTTGTTACAAATTTTGTGGGTTTTTTTGTAATAAAAAATAATTGATGTTTGAATTATAAATTTTTTGAAACAAATTATAATTTTTTGCAGTAACTTACAATCGATCCTAAAAATATTCAGATCGATCCTAATATTTTTAGGATTAATTATACAAAATTGTACAAAAAATTGTAATGATCATTGACACCATTTCATTATATTTTTTTAGTATCATAGACTTCTCCCTAATCAAGTAAACTTGAACTATGGCTATCTCGCCCACGAGTGGCTCCATTCGACACCTTATATGTTAACATCACCGGGGGTTAACATGATATATCACAGCCTTGGTAAAAGTTTTGGTCTACATCACATCACATACGAACATATTAAGAAATTGGTGCAAGCATTATAATATCTATATAATATTATCACCGTTACCATTATCATCACTACCTCTACCACCATGGTTATTGTCATTCATCACAATCATCACCGTCTCTGCCCACTATCACTGTCGTCCACCTCCTCTCACCCCTACTACAAAATGATACTTAAATTTATTTATCTCTTCTATATGTTTGTGAATTGATTTGGATATGAATACAAATATATTTTTTATTTTTTATTTTTTATTATTCTGTGCCTTCAGACACAGATAATAACTAGTATATAATAAAATAACTTACAATTCAAATTTCAAAAGATAAACAAAATGATTTTTGCTATTCACGATTGAGATCGTTTTAAATTTTATTTTAAAGTTAACATAATGACTAATATTTAATACCCTAAATTTAATAGGAAAAATAGACCCCTAAAATGTGTTTGGAGTGACTTTTTAAAAGTACTTATAGAAATTATTTATCATAAATATTTTTTTAAAAAAATTGTGTTTGAAATCGCCTCACTATTATCTTTACCATCACCACCACCACTATCATTGCCACCATCGTCGCCGCCACCAGCATTGCCAACGCCACTACCATTGTCACCACCACCAGCATTGCCAACGCCACTACCATTGTCACCACCACCACCACCATCCCCTCCCATCACCATCGTCGTTGTCGCTGCCACCATCACCATACCAACATCACCAACTCCACCCCCCACCACCACCACAACCATCACCGTCTCCTACCATTACTATTGTTGCCTATCATCTCTCACTTCTATTACAACTGATACTTAAATTCATTTTATCTCTCCTCTATATTGATGATTTAATTTTGGATATGAATACAAATATATTTATTATTTATCATTTTTTATCACTCTGTGCCTTCAGGGCACAGGTAATAACTAGTCTATTAATACGGATAATAAATGAATAGATATAATAATGTCAATCATGGAATATATTTCTTACATGATAAATATATTAAATTGACATAGTCATAGAAAGAGTCAGGATTTTATATTGGGTGCAAAATAGGAATAAAATTTCAAACTAATTAATCTAAAACGTTTCTAAATTTAAGAATGAGAGATATAAAAAAATCCTATAGTTGATACTACGCTACCGATCTCGGCATTTTTTTTCAATGCACACATAGGTTTAATGAACTCATCTTTCATATTGCTTCAAAATACACTATTTTGAGTAATTTTATTTTACTAATTTGTATCTAATATTGTTCAATTGTATTAAACTTAATGAAAAATAGTTATATATAACTATGCAATTTGTTTAACAAACATATTATTTTTGATTAAGACACATAGTATTAGAACATTGTCGCGTTTGCAAGTTATTCATTATAAAGGATTTTTTCTCCTTTTGGGTGGGGAAAAGAGTAGGGGACCATTAGCTTACTAAGAATAAAATAAATTAGGGCCACGCGCTACCATACAAAAACCAAAAAATCAGATTAATATCCCCTCTAATACATATTTTTATTATTTTTTTTCTTGATGTATTATTCATCATTCATGAGAGACGGGTTCATTTGTATACAATAAGACCCATCGAAATGCATGGTAGATGCCAGTGAAATTTTTTTTTGAATAAAAATATATTAAATAGAATTTCATACCCCAAAAATTAAGGGAAGCAGTGCATTAAATTGAAGAATGTCATAATGTTTTGATACCTTATATGGAGTGACAATTAAAAGGTGTGAGACAAGTGCCTCCCTACCCTTGAACGTGGCTTTGTCATTGGATAAGATCTCCCCCCCCCCCCCCCCAAAAAAAAAAAAAAAAAAAAGCTTTATTCAATAATAATGTATTACATAAATCTTAATGGAACAATATATATATTAATGAATTTTGCTTGTACTTAAATGTTGCTAATTTTAATTTCATAGGGGTTGTGGGATCTAGTTGTGATATAGACAAAAAATATATACTAGTCTTAGGTTTTTCATTTGGGACATAATTAATAATAAAAACGAAATAATATCAAAGATTGGATTGAAATCCCTGCGAATATATTTTACCTTTAATTTCCTTATTAACAGATAATCTATTATGCATTTAAGTGGGATTGATTATATACAAATAAGTCTATCATTCATTAATAATGGATGATCTAACAAAAAAGAAATAGAAAACACTAGCGGTGGCCCCCCTATAATGCATGAGATTTTCTATCTCTTTCGACCGGTTCTATACCACCACATATTTGAAAAGTGAGACTGTTTGCAGTGGCGGATCCACAACGGAGGTGGTGGGGACAACTGCCTCCACTGGAGTTTTAAAAATTGTTGGGGAGTACGAATAATTTAAAATTTATTAGAAATTTGTCCTCATTAAATTTTTTTTAAAAGATTTATAGGTAGTTATAATATTTTAAAAAATATATAAGTCTCACTTAATATTCATTTTTATACTAGGATTTGTAATCTTGTATTTATTTTTTTATATTGAAATAAAATTGGAGGTTATTATTCTCTTTTATAATTTATTTTTTTATATATTTAATAGATATTTAGGTTTATAGTTCTCTCTTGTATTTTATTTTTTCTTGAATTGGAATCAAGAATTGCAGTCCTCTCATTTGTTTTATTTTTATATGTTAAATTAGAATTAGAACTTATACTCCTCCATTAATTGTCTAGTTTACTATAACTTCAAAAGACATCCTATTTTATTTTTTGAATCTTTAATGACACCCCCTGTTAGATTAAAGATGTTAGTTAAAATGCAATTTTACTAAATTGTCTATGATATATTTTAGAAACAATTTCACCCACACCTTCTCTAGATAGACATATCTTCAAATGAGACCTCCTCTACTTTTAAAATTTTTGTTCGTATTAAAATTTAGGCCGATTAAAATTTGATTAGAACTAATTAAAATTTATTTTTTATATATTAAAATTTAAGTCAATTAAAAATTATATTTTTTTACCTATTAAAATTTGAACCGATTAAAATTTTATTTGAGACTCAAATCAAATTTTAATCAATTCGCATTAAATTTTAATAGGTTTGATTTTTGATACATAAAAAATATAAATTTTAATTGACTCAATTTTTAATATGTAAAAAATAAATTTTAATCAAGTTAAACCGAATTTTACTGAATAAAAAAATATAAATTTTAGTATGTAAAAGACTTTTAATATACTCAAATTTTAATGCGTAAAAAAAATAAAATTTAATCACTTCGAATCAAATTCTAATATGTAAAATAAAGAATTTTAGTCTGTTCAAATTTTAATATATAAAAAAATAAATTTTAATAACAATTTTTTCTTTTTATCTGATCTCGGATTTGCCTGCTTGACTTGCGAAATCCGCTTTCCCTAACCTAGATAAGGAAAATAAAAAAGAGATACTCGAACACAAGTCTTTATATGAGCCGACTACTATCAAAACAACTTTCTTTATTGCGGTGACCAAGCTATGACTGCTACACGTGCCCACAACAAGAAATATTAGATAGATTAGTGGGTCTAGTTGCCCTTTCCGTAACTACCGAAAGTACCTGTCTAGCGTACGGAAAGGAAGGAATTCTCTTATCTACCTACCTCACTCGGCTAGCAACAGAAGGAATTCTCTTTGATAAATCGCTCGACTAAACGAAGAAAACATAAGTGCACTAACGCGCACCCTATCCATGCCAACTTTTGAGCACCTTTATTTCGAATTTTATGTAAAAAGATTGTGTTTGAGTTTATGTAGGGACAATTTTGATATTTTAAATAATTTATTTTTATTATAAATAATAATTTAATGATAGAAAGTGCTAGTAATATTTAAATATAAATTAAAGAGGGTGTCAGTGATGTTTTGATAATAAAAGAAATATTTTTGAAGATATGATAAACTATAAAGGATGTAATTAAAATTTTTCTTACATTAAATTGTTTTGATTTGGTGGTTTGAATAATTTTATTGTAATTGATTAAGTAGTTCCTATTCCCAATTTTAGTTTAATTGAATAGTTATAATTTACGTTTGTTTCAATTGTTTGTTAAAATTCAACTATAGCCTAAATTTTTGGTTTAAATTTTTTTTAGGTGATTACATCTTATAGATAAATTTATAGTGAGTTTTTTTTTTTGTATAACGCTCATATATATAAATCGTGACTTTAATTAACGTTCTATCAATGAAACTATACTTTTGTGAATATTAGTAATTTTAATATTCATATGATTTAGATTGCGCTATTGAAAAAGATGTCTAACTCCGCCCCTGATTATTTGCGGAGTTTAACTTCTACTAAAGCTCTTTTCATTAAGAAAAATGCTACTTAACTTAAATACATCCAAAAATTAATACTCAAATACATATTATCATTTAGATGAGTCTTATTCAAATCAAAATCTATTTAGTCGGATATAAATTATTAATTTTTTTACCGATAATTCGAACTCAAATCTAATATCTTAAATTTTATGGATTTAAATTTGAATACACTTATATCCGATCCAATTATGATTCAATACGAATTATTTATATATTTTTACATAAATATTAAAGATATTAAGTGTTTCTTTAAAAAATTTAAATATAATTTATTATAGAATTCTTGATTATTAACAATTTCGGATCACAAAAAATAAAATCCATCAAATTATTGTATCAAATTCGAAACCGACTTTTAAAATCGAATTTGTATTCGAATCAATTAGATTAGAATTTAATCCAAAACCGATCCAAAGACGGACAGTAGACTCCGCTCCACCTAATTACGTCACTCACCCAGCCTCATTCAGGTTTCAAATCCACAACAACTAACCTCTGCACGCTGCGCGCCACTTAGAACACTGCACTGTCTTCTTCAGGTTGACATCCGATCAAACCCTAACCCTGAGCGAAATTTATCGCCAAATCGGCTTCATCATCAACCTCGTCTGGTAAGCAGAGCCTATTCAATTCATATACGATTCCGCCTACACTGTTTGGAAACTTAAGAGTTTGGGGCCCGGAAAATGGAATTTAAAAAGAATCTATTGAAAATTTGTCTTTTATTATTTAATCCAACTCCAATTTTACGAACCCAATTCTATGCCACCAAACACAGCATTAATTTCTCTCCCTTTTGAAAATATGGGAAATCGGCACTTAACGTTTTTGTTTGTGGGAATTATTCTGAATTTTTATCAGAAAGACTATAACGGTAGGGTTTATTTCGGTTTTTTACTAATTTATTTCATTAGCCTGAATGAATGGGTGTAGGTGATGGTGGGGATTTTGGTAGTGTGGATTTTTGTAGTTTAGATGGTAATTGATGTGTATTAACTTTTTTTTTTCTGGTTGGGGGTCTGGGTTGTAGATGAGTAGCATCAAGCGATTGCCTGAGGCTCTTCGCAGTTCAGTGCGCTCTGGCATCATCTTGTTTGATTTGACCAGGGTCGTGGAGGAGCTGGTTTTCAACAGCCTTGATGCAGGTGCAACTAAGGTAACAATTTCATATTGCATGAGATGTGTGTGAAAGTATGCTTGTATAGAATAGATGTAAATTCTCAGTTTCCGTGGGACACACGAGAAGGGAAGGGTGGGAATTGTGGCGTTGATGCTATTGGAGAGAATTATTGAAAGTGCCATCAAAATGTACATGTATATGTCAATGTCATAAAATATGAACACAAATGCCAATAGCTGGTGAATCGCGAGCAGACACAAGAAACATGCAAGTATAATCAGGTTAAGGTCAACACATTTTGTTAGTAGGTTGAGTTTGTCTTGGGGTCCAGACTTTCAGAAGCAATAAACCATATACGTGGAATCAATTTGTTTCAGACAAAAGGGTTTGGTTGAGCTGCTGTTGTTTAGTTAACAAGTTGCACTTGTGTAACTGGAATTTGGTGTAGTTATAGATAGGGTGGATTCTAAGACAGCTCTACTACTTTCAAATTTCATGATTTTGGTATCTTTAGTACCACAACTATTACACCTCTAGAAATTTGTATATCTCGATTTTTGAGCTAGCAAGATCTCCTTGTTGCAATCGTTGCCACTATCAATGCTTTTAATAGATGTTGGTATCCCTTGAATTCACGTTAAACTGTTGCGAATTTCCACTGTCAAAGCTTGGCCTTGTCACTTTTTAATAGATGCCACTTTTTTATTTCTATGCTTGTGCAGAAGTTGGATTTGTATTTAGAATTCTGCATTCATGATGTTGACAATTAGGTATTCTGTCAGGTATCTGTTTCTGTAGGGCTTGGGACCAGCTACATTAAAGTGGTGGACAATGGTAAGCTGTAACTTTTCTTAGTTATAATCAATAATGCACTGAATTCCATTCTTATCTATGGAAAATTCAGTACCATGTTAAGTTACATGTATGTGCAGGAACTGGTATTACTAGGGATGGACTGGTATTGTTGGGAGAAAGATATGGTTAGTATTTTTTTTAATGTTAATTTATATGTACTTGCAAACTGGTATTACTAGGGATGGACTGGTATTCTGGGAAAAAATATATGGTTAGCATTTTTCATTTTCTTTGGAAAAAAAAAATAACAGAGGGCAATCACATTGATGAACACCACTTGCTTATGTATGTAGTCATGCTGAATATACAGTCTTATGTTAGTTTTGCTATCTTACACTAGATTGGTGAATTGTATCGGATGGTTGGGAAGTGGTCAAATCTGAACTGTGATACTTGGTGTGCGATATGTGACTTGAATTTGTGCTCTGTAGGTGTCATAAGTATTAAAAGTAAGGAAGTCTTATAAGTTTTGATGCAAAAATCTTCATTTATGTTATTTGTTGTGGTTTGTTTTGTTTTGATTAAAGTCGGAATCATGTGATGTTATGTATGCCTACTTACAAAATGCTGTCCTTCAATAGCAAAAATTGTACTAGAATGCATTATTTGGTACAATTTCATCTGTTGGTTTTTTTTTGTTTGCACATAAGTCGCGCCAAAATGTCAGCATTTATTTGCATTCTTTCCCTAAAAAGAAATAGAGGGGTTTCCAAATGTATTGGTTGGATACTCATTTCAACATAGAGAGGCTTTATAATGTTCAAACAGATAGAGTACAAGCCTGGTATTTTCTGACAAACTCCACTCTGTGGATATTTATTGCATTTCTATGATTAAATGACCTTTCTCTAGACATTTTCTGGAAAATAATTTTTTTGAAAGTTTCTCTAAATTAGTAACAAAAGTACAGAAGTAGGAGACTTGGTAATTTCTGGGGACAAATTGTTATTTATCTTTATTAGAACAACTGATTTATTTTTCTGATTGCTGAAGATAACAATAGAAGAATAGAAACTCAGTTTCCCCAACCCATCCAAAATTATCTTCATCTTGCAAATCCAATAAAATCGTTCTCTCTTTACATGGGCACCAGTGTAAATTATGTCTTTCCTATTTAACAGCCCACAGATGGCTATCTCCTATTTGAACTTCTCAGTAAAGCTAATAAAATCTTCATCTCTTTGGAGTAAACCTGCCACTCTTGGCTTTTGGGGATCTTTTTTAACCTGTTTTCTTGCATTTTTATGATTGAATGAGTTTCCTAAGAACATCAACATAAATGTGCTGGGAAAGTTTTTGATTTGTAAAGTCAACTCCATAGTTGGGGAAAAAAGGGTGTATTATGAGGGTTTCTTTTCTTGTTGGGGACGATTGTTGACCACTTTTACTTTTAAGGCTGTAGGGTGCAGAATATTAAAATGTAACTTCAGAAAAGAATTGACAACTGAAACTATTTTTATTTGTAGGAGTTCTAATTGGTTTATATATCATTCAACATAATGGTTTGTGTCTATGCTATGTGAGCAGCAACGTCAAAGTTTGACCATTTGGCTGATATGGATGCTTTTAGTCAAGGCTTTGGCTTTCGGGGAGAAGCACTGAGCTCCATTTCTGATATTTCGGTGTTAGAAATTCTGTCGAAAGCTCATGGGAAGCCAAATGGATATCGCAAGATTATGAAGGCATGGATAGCTCGAGTTTTGAACAGACCCATCTATGATCTATATCTGGATATCTTTGCTGTCGTTAACACAAGTGTTCGTCTGATTGACAGTTTTGTTGTTATTCTCAGGGCTGCAAGTGTTTGTATCTTGGAATTGATGATAACAGACAAGATGTGGGCACAACAGGTAAGGAATACTTATGCTTGCTCATCTTTAGCAGGAGACACTTTTCCTCCTTAGAGGAGCTTTCCATGCGCTCTCTCTCTCTCACACACACACACACATGCACGCCACAACAGTCTATATGTCTTACATTAAGATGCATATTTTTATGTTTTGAAATATTGAAGATTTGAACATTTAGTTCGTTTTAAGACCAAAAAAAAAACATGTAGTTTCTTTGCAAAAACAACTTAATTAATGACACTATATTTTTACCATCGTTCTCAGATGTTTGACATTGAAGCGTACCCATAACTTCCCACCCATCCCCTCCCCCCCCCACGGCCCCACCCCACCCAAAAAAAAAAGAACAAATAAGAATCTCACTGACAAAAAAGCTGATACATCCTTTAGGAGATGTTAAAACTGAATGTGGGTTTTACATGAGCGATAATGAAATTCATTTTATGCATTATCTTGTCTTCCCTCTATTTTGCGTTGTGTTTCGAACTATTTAGGATGCAGGGATTCAGTCTTCTTGCTTTTCCCCATGACCTTATCTAAGATCTAAGAGAATTTTTTTACTGGACATTAAACCGAGATGAAGTGCTATGCATAGAAACTCGAAGTCACATTTGACTAAGTGAAATTGAAGATCTATGTTTTGTCATTTTTAACATTTACATGCGTCTTGTTTTCACCTCAAATAGTTTCATTTCTATCAGTTGGCAATTAGGAAGCAGACAATTCTAGCGAAGATTTAGGGTTAAACATCTGTATGTCTTGATGATGTTTAGTTGAAGGCACCAAGGTCCATATATGGTTGAAGGCACCAAGGTCCATACCAGTGGGCTTTTGGTCCAATGGTACTCCTTGTCTTGTGAAGGGGTTCAAGTCCCTTTCCCCCTCCCCACAAAATAGATAAAAAAAAATAAAAATATATATATATAGGAAAATGGCGAAGCAGGATTTGTGTTTACAACAAAAATTCTATAAAGCATGCCCCACACACATCCTTCTTATATGACCGTATGTCTTTTTATACAGCATATTTAACAATATAAGAGTAAATGGGAGTGGAAATTTCTGGATACAGAAATACATTATTTGTCCTTTTTCGTTGTTGATTATCTGCGAATAAATTTGGTTACTTTTAGTAATCTTGGTTCCATGCAGTCATTGTCCGTGATTTGTTTTACAATCAACCAGTACGGAGGAAGCATGTGCAATCCAGGTTCCTGTCAACTCACCATATTTTAGTTTTAACTTAAAAACCTAATATTCCCAGCTACCATATTCTAAATGATTATTGTACTGACAATGCTTTTTACCTGACTTGATGCTCTCCTGATTTGCATCACTAAATCGGTAGCCCCAAGAAGGTCTTGCACTCAATTAAAGAATGTTTACTTAGAATAGCCCTTGCGCACTTCAAGGTTTCCTTCAAAGTTCTTGATATAGAGAGGTATTTCCTCATTAAATGTGCAAGATAGAGCTTGGTTAGTTATTCTATCTTTGTTGTTGCAATTATTTTCATGTTTAAATGCAGTGAGGATGAGCTGCTTTGCACATATGCTTCCTCTTCTCCTCTGCCACTTTTGAGGAGTGGTTTTGGAATTGAGGTTTCCAGTTCTCTACGCGAATGCAATGCATTGGACACCACGTTGAAGCTTTCTGGATACATGTCTGGTCCCTGTGATACTTTCTCTGCTAAGGTAGAATTGTTTGAACTGAAGATATTACTGATTTTCTTGTGCTTTAAATTCTGTTTCAGCATCTCTGTTTTTAATTGAAGACTGCTTATTCTGCAGGCCTTTCAATACTTCTGTATCCATGTCTGTGATGATATACGAAAGCTGATTTGTGGGCAGATGCACTTGTGTTTGAGATATTTAGTATTTTGTGCATTTGTTTGTTTTGACCACCACAAAATGCAGACATCAACTCAAAGTTCATTTCCAGAGGCCCAATACATAAACTGCTGAATCAGTTGGCCTCTGGGTTCAGCTGTGCAGATGTTTGGAAGACTAGCCTTGAATCACAAAATGGGAAGCGAAGTAGGTCTCAAACATGTCCAACCTTCATTTTGAACTTAAGCTGCCCTCGATCTTGCTATGATTTAACTTTTGAACCATCAAAGACTTCTGTCGAATTCAGGGTAACATTTTCCTTTTTTATCATGAATTATGCTTTGTTTATTATTTGCTGATGCAATTTTTCTGCTTGTCACATATTTGCTTGGTCTTGCCAGTTTGACCGTGTTGAGTGGATTAATGTTTTTGCCAAAAGATTTTGTAGCGACCAAGTGACTAGGGATTTCTCCCCAGTGTCTGCTAAGATGCTCCGTTTCTCAGACAAGTTTTTTGAGTTTTTGCAAATCCTCTTAGATTATTGAGCTGCATGTGTATTTGGGTCGAATTATTTCTCTCTGAGATAATTGTGAAAGGGGCATTGTTAGGCATCAATTAAACAAATGATCAATTTATAATAAATATGCTTGTTTTTGCTGTCTTTCATTATCGCCATTATGGTGGTCATCTAAGTTCTCGCAGACTCTGTCTTTGAGCGTCACATAGCAGAGGTAGTTTCTTTCCCTACTAAAGCATTAGGTCTGTTGTCTCATCTCTACATGATAACATGTTTTAGCAAACTGGAATTGAATCCTGTAAGCAAATCAAGTTAGTTTGAAAATCTAATCATGAGCATATAGATCATTAATGTCTCACATTTGCTTATGAAGTATGTTGATTCTTTATGCTTTTGAATTTGCAATTGCCTTCTTTATGCTTGTGCTGTGTAGTTGTTTAATACTTATTACTCATGGAATTTCACTTTTAATAGGTTTTGCAGTCAAATTTTGCTAAATGTGGAAAAGCTAAATTCTGTGCTTGTATTGATTCAATGATGACCTCTTTATGTGCTTGAAATTAGGGACTCAGAACCTTGTATTACATCTAGACTTCAGTTAAATATCATGTCTGGCAAAGATTTTAAATTTTGCTGACCTTTTGAAATCACATATGATTCATGCCTTACCCTATCACTTATCTAATGAGCTTATGATTCAATCGAATAAACTCTTTGGAACGCTCTAACACTATTAAAGCTTTACACCATTCACTTGCCATATTCCCATTATGACTTTGTTCTTATTAATTGGGTTGGTCAGGATAGTGGAATATTGTGAAATAGTTCACATTTTTATTGTTTCTATGTTAACCCCAGAATCATTCTTTGGTTATGTTTCAGGATTGGCTTCCAATACTTAGATTTATTGAACAAGCTGTCACGCACTTTTGGGGATCTTATGGTAAGTTGACAACTGCTAATCTCACAATGATATATACTGCTATATCATTTTTCTGATAGTTCCTTTTTTAAAAGCCTTGATGAATTTGAATGTTTATAGGAGATTCATTTGGTCACATTGCTGATGGGTCATGCAAAAATGACATGTGGAAGGAAAATAAAGAATTTGTAGCAGAAGGAGGTTAGTCTTACATTGCTTCTTTAAATCTAACATCTTTTTATATGTCTGTGGATGGAGTCCATCCATTTCTAGTAATTTAAACAGTTAATGTTCTTGATTCCTCTAACTATTTAGAATGTATAGTATCATCTCTGCAGAGTGTGAGAGTATTACAATCTTGTAATTGTTCGTCTATATAGCATGCTTCTACAGAAAAGGAAAGACTTACATAAGACCTTTGGAATTTGTTGCTTTCTGTTTACAATTTAGATTTTCAAGCAAATTATACAATTGCAAAAAAAAGGTGCAGAAGCCGGAATCATCAGGCTTCTCTTGACTCTGCCTCCCCCCAGCCAAAGTTGCTGACTGAAGAGTGTGGCCAAGTGTCTGCCTGGAGAGAGAGCAGAATTTCATGTCGTAAGTCTCATAGAAATGCCTTCGAATCTAAAGAGTGCCTAAGCGAGGTGGGGTCTGTTTGTCATACTGACTATTTATTTGAATCATGTGATGCATCTCCCACCCAAGACAGCGCACTGATAAACCAAGAGAGTAACGACCATCTGTGGACATCTAAAAATAATATTCTCTGTGCAGAAGATAATTTGTTGGACAATAAGTTCTTTGCGACAGGAAGATACAATAAGCAGATGGGTGATATTTTAAGTTCAAGATGGAATGATGTGTCTCCTAGTGTTGATGCCAACATGAGCAGTGGATTAATGGGAGGTGCCTCTGATTATTTCGCAATTGGTGATAATGTGGAGGGTGTTAATGAAGCTCTTAAAAGACCCTTCCTGCGGAGTTGCTCCTCGCAGGGAAGCAAGTTGCTACCTGATGCGACATCTTTTGTGAGTGATGAGGGATTTGACTTTCAGATTGGTGACTTCAGAAACAAGCCAAATCAGCTTGACCATGATGATAGGGTTGATATTGGAGAAGCTGATAATGGTAACCTGTGCATTGAATCTATGACTTTATGGAAGCACCAAACCGCAAATGATTCATCCTCTCCCGGGCTCACAACTGAATGTGACATGCATTCAGCTTCAGATTCTTTTCCAAGGAATTCAAGAAGGCTACTCTCAATTGCTGGAGAATGTTTTGGTAAAGAGAATGACCTTCTGCCTGATGCCGTTGCACAAACTCCAAAACTTTGTTCCAGGCATCGGTCTTTTAGTCCTGAATGGTCTCCTCTGACCTATGATCCCTTATTTGGGACCAATCCTCAGGATATTGAACATTCCACGAATGAAGAAGTGTTTCAGAGGTGTTTTAGCTATGACGAAAGTGGGCAACATGACTATCTTGCAGATAGGGCAGAGAACAATTTTCATACCTCACTAAAGTGCTCAGGCCGTGGAAACTGCTCATTATCAAGCTGCATGGATGTCCTCTCGGATTGCCAGGATTATGCTCCTTCCGAAGGGGATATTTGTGAATTTCAAGGACACCATCTAGATGATTTTTTATTTCCAAAATATTCTGGTTCTTTTACTGATCAAAGGGATTGGTTTTGCTTTGACTCATGTAGTAAAGATAACACCTATAGTTGTGCAGTGCCATCAAAAGATGTTCCTTTATCGATTAGTGTCGATAAAAATAAAAACCAAAGGCTTCACAGTAGATGCCAACATAAAATATACGATGGTAAAAAAAGGTCAATAAGAAGCCATTCGGCTCCACCATTTTACAGAGCTAAGAAGAAGATTGTCTCATTAAATAATTGCTCGACTATTGAAGAAGGAAAGTTCAATTCTAAGATCATCAATGATGCTCCAACTCTGAGAGGTATTGCTTAAAATCAAACTTGCCTTATAGGACTTATTGGAGGAGAAAAATGAAAGGATTACTAATATCCCTTTATCTTGTGCAGGAGCTTGTGAATTAAATCATCCACAAGAATTAACTAGTGTATGTGATCTATCTTCAAAGTCAAGTAATGTGGATGTTCCATTGTTCCATATGAGGTATTGTAGTAACTAGTATTTGCATATCCTACTTAAATTTACAAATTGCTGACTTGACTTGATGTGGTCTTAATTACAGATTTGAGGCAAAGAGACCACCAGATGAGATTGAGATTCAAAATTTTAAAGTGCAAAATAACAGTTGCTTCCACAGTTATGATATGTATACAGTTACCGGTAACTCTGTTATGTGTGGGCAGTAGCTACGGTTCTTGTTATCGTGGAAGAATCTATTGGTTTTTTAGGCAAATCCATCTAGTATGATATGTCAGTGTAATGAACAAGCAGGGTTAATTATGGATAACTCCCTGTTTTTTGGCCCAGTTACGCATGACCTCCCTATATTTTGGAAACCTATATATTTTACCCTGTGGTTTTGGGGCAAAGTTCTGCCATTGGATTTCCATCCAAATAGACGGAGAGTGCACTGTTGGCGCAACAGAAGTGTTGTGGTGTGGGGGCAATTTTTTCTCCAAAATTTGAATTCTAACATAATAAAACAGGGCAAAATAGTCGTTTTGACTTCCTTTTGACAGAGTTAGGGTCTTCAATTTGGTCCAAAATTGTAAGGAATTATTTGTAGGTTGCTAAAGACGGGCATATTGTGTAGCTGAGCCAAACCACAAAGAGGTGCTCTATAATTAACTAAAATTATGTTTAAACTTTAAACTACTTTGTTTTACCTTATGTGGTTAGATTTTTCCCATTCTTCAAAATCTTCTATTTTCCTCTTTCTTCCCAATTAGCACCCCTTCTTTTGTTCCCTGAAATCTCACACGATATTAGAAGCTTGAAAGAATTACAACAAGTCAACACTCCCTCTCAACCCCACCCTCCTTTGGCTAGGTTGTTTGTACTGAAATCCATTGTTTTCAAAATTGTATGATTCGCGATTCAATTCGATTTGATTTGATAAGTCTCCATTCGATTTGTTTCTTACTATAGAATTGTTTTTGGTCGAGAATTACACCAGAATCGCAGAATCGTAAAATTTGATTCGAGTTGGAGGAATCGCACGATTTATTTTATTATTTTTCTAACCTTGTTTCTAGTAAAACAACGCCATTTTGACGGTTAGATAGTCAAAATGACATTGTTTTTCTCCACAAAATTTAAAACTCATTTCTCTCTCGGTATCTCTTATTTGCATCTTTGCCTCTCAAGCAACTGTTCAAGCATCAATGAATATCACACTGAGACTGAGATGATGTCTCATTCACTCCAAGTATGTTTTTTCTTCTTTTTCTTCTTCAGAAACAGCTACCAAACTCTAACATGTTCTACTTCTTCTTCTTCTTCTTCTTCTTCAATAAATGCTTTGTTTTTTTGTTTTTCATTAAAAAATTATTTTTCAATCTAATGTGGGAAGTGTTTTTCTAAGTTTCCATGTTCAAATCAGTATGAGTTTTTCCTATTTTAGTTTAACTTCATTGGTAAGAAGACAATAGTTATTTGTTGGTTAAACACCATTCGTCTTTCATCATGGCAATTTGAAGGAATGATTTATTATGCATTAAGAAAGAAGCAACACAGGTACAAACTAGTGTAGCTTTATAAAGATTTATAAAGGTTAAGCATCTTTCCATTTAGACGACGTGATCAAGTCAATATCGTCACTTGATTATTTTTAAAATACAAGAATGTTTAATATTTAATATCTTGCCTATTTTAAATATATAGATGTTATTTTTTTATTATTGTTCGAATTTTGTGTCGAATCTTATGATTCTCGATTTGATACGATTCCTGATTCTCAAATTTAGGATTTTGATTTGCGATACGAATCTCGATTTAATAACTATGTTGACATCCTTAATTGTGCTAATAAGAATGATTCATTTTGTCATCCAGGGCCATCTCATCCTTCAGACTTAACATCAAAAGAAGATGAAGATCCATTAGATTCTAGGCTGAAATGGCGGAACAGCTATCCACATACAACGGTTGAGTATCTTAGCAGTTCCAAATCTTATTTTGCTACTCTACCAGTTTTACAGTGAGAAATTGGGTTTGTTAAGCTAGGATATTAGTGGTTATGAGTCCTCCTTTGGTTCTACAGCATGGAGACAAATCACAGAATATTCACGATAGGGATACTATACTTGACATCTCCTCTGGGATCTTGCACCTCGCCAGCAATTTATTAATTCCGAAATCTATAAACAGGAAGTGCTTGGAGGACGCGAAAGTTCTTCGACAGGTTGACAAGAAATTCATTCCAGTTGTAGCTGGCGGAACACTTGCTATCATTGACCAGGTCCAGTTATTGCTTCTCTATGACTCTTGAGATGCAGTTTGTGTGTTCTATTTTCACTGATGCAGGATTTTGTGTTTCGTGATAAACCGTCTTTTGCTTCTCATCTGGTTGATAAACATGTAAAATTTTCAATTTTCAGTGTAGCATAGAAGTCTCCAGAGGGGATCAGGGACGTTGATCATGATAAAAAAAACTTCCCTGAGAATCTTTTAACTGGGAGATGATTTCAATGTTTTGCTATGAAGAGTTATATCAGTTTGCTTAAGTAGATCCCTAATTGAAAATATTTGCATGTAAAGTAACCTATGGACACATGGGCTTTCTCACATGAACACGCACGTGCATGTGGTACACCACGCATGCACACTTTAAGGGTAAGATGCAGTGAGCTTACTTCGAGCATTTGGATGTATTGACATCTTCTGTGGTGGTTTTTTACAGCATGCTGCAGATGAAAGGATCCGGCTGGAAGAACTGCGTCATAAGGTAAAACAATTTTGAAGTTTAACTTGTAAATATGCTTTGTCTAGTGTGGCTTAGAAGACTAGTGAAATGCTTTGTCTAGTGTCGCTTAGAAGACTAGTGAAATTCTTAGGTGCTATCTGGAGAAATGAGGACAATTACCTATCTGGACGCTGAGCAAGAGTTGGTAAGCATCCTTTCTACATATACGTGAAAATCTTGAGCTATTTCAGTTATGGTTTTTTGCTTCTAAATGGTATATTAGGTCCTGCCTGAAATTGGACAACAGTTGTTGCACAATTACGCTGAACAGATCCAGAATTGGGGTTGGATCTGCAACTTTCATGCTCAGGATTCACGGTCGTTTAAAAAGTAATTTCTGGCTTCCGATCTACAGACCTTCATTTTTTTTTTGCATGATCTTCATCTATGTATCAATAAGACAGACACGTGGATCATTATTAATGACGTTGACTTGAAGATATTTTAAGGTTAGAACGGTAATGTGTGTAGATTAATGAAACGGTGTTTGACGCGTTTGCACCAATGACACTGCAAAAAAAGTTAAGTTTGAGCATCCTTTCTACATCATTTTTTGTTTTCACCCTTTTTTGGGTTTTTCCTTATCTTGCAGGAGTTTGAATCTTCTACACAGTCAGCCAACTGTTGCCACGCTTGTCGGGGTAAAACTCTATCCGCATTTTTCCCTTCCAAAAAAAATAGCTTTTCAACTTCTTGTGCTAGTTAAGAAATGCTATTTTTGATTATCTTTCCAATTATTAGTTATGTATGGATGTTATACATATCTGTTATAGATTCCTCTATAGGGAACTTTGATTGCCGAAGGAATTATTGGTCCTTCCAGAGATTGTTGAGTACCATTATCATTTTTGGGTGCTTTGAAACGCTCTGGAAGCACAATAAGTAGTAACGCTGATGAACAGACACACAGGGATTTATGAAATCTGTTAAGGGTGTCCTCAAGTTGTTATATTTATTTGAACATACCCAAGAATAAAAAACATAAATGACTCAAGAATTTTCTGTTATAGGCTTTTATAATGCTGGACAGCATTCTTTGAAGTACTACTATCAGTCACGTGCCAGTGGTTTCATTATTGAATGTAACACTTTTCATTGTTGGGTGAGCAGGTACCCTGTATATTGGGTGTTAATTTGACTGATGTGGATCTCCTGGAATTTCTTCAACAGGTGATAATAAGAGGGATCTTTTCTGAATCATATTTGATGTATTTCTGACTCCTATTTGTATTGCAACCTGTAGCTTGCTGACACGGATGGATCATCAACAATACCGCCATCGGTTCTTCGGATCCTTAATTGCAAAGCATGCAGGGGTAAATTGTCTACACCCCAGATGCCAATCTTATTCTTTTACTTAGTTGGAAATCATAAATGCTTGCTGGAGAAAGCTAGTGTTGCATTTAATTAATACTTGCCCATAGGAGGCAACTGTATCCACCACTTTAAGTGTTGTCTTGAAAAATGGAAAGAAAAGAGAACCATTTTTTTTTTGCTCAACAAAACATACACATGGAATTTGTGTAACTTTGGGTGCAACAATTCTTTCGTATTTAGTGGCTGCATGAGGGTACCTTTCTACTTGCATATCTTCGAGTACCTTTCTTTTGTTTGTTTGTTCTTGCTTTTTTGTTTTATATTTTCCCTACTGTAATAGTTATACAGGAATGATCTGCCTAACTTTCCTTCTGTATTCCAATGTATAGGTGCAATTATGTTTGGTGACACATTGCTGCCTTCAGAATGTTCTCTAATTGTCGAAGAGCTCAGGCAGACTTCATTGTGTTTCCAAGTGAGTTCACAAAAACTTAAGGGTATCAATTCAGAAATTGAGGGCACAATTACTAAGTGGCGTTCTTCATCAATTGTGATTTTTTAAAAAATAATTTCAGTGTGCTCATGGGCGACCGACAACTATTCCTCTTATCAACTTAGACGTATTGCATAAGCAGATAGCTAAGCTTGGACTGTGTTCGAATGAGATGTGGCATGGCCTACGTCGACATGAAATCAGTCTACAACGTGCAGAGCAGCGTTTAAACTCCACTGGAGGTCAGTGTTGACAGATGATAGGGTGGACAACGTCTTGCATCAGCAAGATGGCTTGGACTGTGGTGTAACTGGGCAAGGTTGACATTAAATCGTGGAGGACAGCGTTTAGGTGCAGCTATAGGTCAGCATGGAAGAGAAACCATGGCCGCATGTCCAAATTCATTGCAGTTGATCCATATGCTTTCATTCTAAAAGGCACTACCATTTAGATCTACTGAAATCTTTCGAATTCCTTTTGTATAGTTGCCTTTGTACCTATGAATGTACCATTAATTTGCTGGATTACTGTCCTAGGCTGTACAGAGGGACAGACAATATAAGGAATGTCAAATCCAAGTTGCACCAACACAGTATTTGTACATAATAGATGACAGAATGTTCAATTGGAGTGTGTGACTGACACAACGATCGTTCTTTAATGCTTGCTTTGTTAGTTGTATAATCTACCTCACAGGTGTTGAGTGATGGCAAAATTTTTTCCTCGTAGATGAATGAGGAATTCCTTTACTGTCGATGGCAGCACACAAAGCCTTCCAGATGGGGACTAGCATTTTCACTGGTGGATTCAATTCCTGGACAATTCAAGCTTACATCGATCAAGCAGAGTTTGTTAAGAAATTTTGAGGATCTGGGCATGAAAAAGGACCATTTACCTTGAAAACTAACGTAAGTTCATCTTCCCCGCCTACAATCAGAGACAGGCTCCAGTAACAAGTGACTGGGGTCACACATTCATTCAGCACTGGTTTCAAAATCTTGCTAATGGGAACGAAGCGTCGGATTATTTTCCTACTATATGGACAAAAAAAAAAAGCGTGATTCTATCAGCAAAATCCCGTCACCAGAAAGCACAGAAAAATATAATGATCATATTTGTTTCATAAAATCTTAAAAACTGTAAATTGTCATGATTTTGTTAGGCTAGAAACAAGAAGAGAAATTTTTAGGCCTTGAATTGCCAGAGTCCACAAGCAAGAACTGCAGCTATTTTTCAGTCAGCTGCAAGAGCTTAGGGAAGAATCACCCTGCCCTTATTGCTATAAATGCGGATAGCGAAGAGAAATGCAGCCAAAAAAATTGATCCAGAAGAAGTAACTAGGAAATCACCCTAGATGAGAGACAACACCTAGTATGTAGATTGATGAAATGAGAAAAGCCATGATTTACACTCGAGTTAAAAAAGTACGAAGTACTCGAGAAATTGCCTACATTTGCAAACAAACACTAAATTCAGATCAGGAAGGAACTCTTGTTCGATCGGCTACAGTTTTAAACTTCCGAACATTAGGTGGCAAGAATTTACGCTACACTTTCATATCTCGCCCATAACGTTTGGTTTCATGGAACAGGAGACGATACTCAAATCAAATACACTCTACACTAAATAAGCTTTCTATTTTTTGAGAGACCCTTTTAGAGATGTGCACAGACTAAAACTGATACATGGAATGGCAAGATGCGTCCAACTAATGCATGTAAACAGTATTTATGCTCACTCTCCCAATGAAATGGCGATTTCTTACATATGACAGGAGTAAGAATTACCTTCCATAGTGAGTTTCAAGCTGTACTCCCAAAGCTGGCATAATTATCACGGATTCTGAGACATTCCAACAATGGCAAAGTAAAAACATGATAAGAATGTTGTCTCAAAATAAAACAGCACATGATGTATTCTTTCTGAACTCTTCTTTTAAACGAAAAAATACATTAGAAAGCGACTCTTAAACAACAACGATATACTTGCCTCGCAAACTATCAAGAATTTTATAAGGCAGGCAGCAAACTTCGAAGACTCGAACTAACAGAGACTTCTTTATATGTATGATAGGCCTCTCTCTATATAATACATACCATATGTTTCTATATATATATATATGTGTGTTTGTCTGTATGATCGGCCTCTTAACTCAACAAAACTTTTATCCCAATTATTTGGAGTCGGCTATATGACCGCAATCTGAATCATATGGTCCATTCAACTTCTATTTTTCCCCACTATGCTACTACGAGTGTGTATCAAAAGACTTCATATGAAGCAAGAAAAAGAACAAAAATTTGGAATTCCCTATTATTGTGTCGCGGACAATATAAATATAAAGGAGAATTGTCCATCCACATTTAAAGTAGGCTGCTACAGAATAGAAGAACCATATAAACATAATCGTGCACGAGTAATAACAGAACTTCAGGGCCCCAGGCAACAGGAACCACTAGTTCTCAGCTCCTCACCTTTTTGAACAGCCTTCCAACGAAATGATTTGACAAGAAATGCACTTAAAAGCAAGCTCCAGAGAAAGCTGATAACAGAGGTGTCCTGTCATTTGCAAGGTTGATCATCAGCTTAGGCCTTACAAGCTATCATATTATTTTTCACTATCTCATTTAAAGTTAATTTCGATCTCCCTTTACCCTTCACATCACCTTCAATAGGTACACCACCCTTTCTAATTGGTTTACTAACAAGTCTTCTATAATAATGTCTAAAGTCAATTCTCTCTTAATTTTTACTTCTACTTATTTACGAATACAAGATTTATCATGCAATTTTTTGGTGAAACATTAAATTACTGATTGATGATTTTCATTCAAGATTGTCCTGAGTTATTATATATAATTATAGACAACGTAGGCCTCTATAGGGAGTTTTACCCAACATATCAATGAGTTATTGTATAAGTCTGTTGGCTACGTGGTAGTATCAAATGTAGAGAAAACAGATACTAGAGAAACTAGCAAATAGTAAATACAAACGTAAAATTCTACAAATACTCGAGTAATGTAGGTCCCGTTTAGTAACGTTTACGTTTCTCGGTTTTCGTTTTTATTTTGATATTTAGAGAAAACATGAAAAAAAAACTCGTTTGAATACCGATTTTATTTTATTTTCCTGTCATTGTTTTGTAAACGGAAGGCGATTTACAAAAGCAGAAAAAAGGCGTTTTTCGAAAAAACGAAAAACGTTTAACGCGCATTTGGTATTAATGAGGTCAAGGAATCGAACCTTGTTAGCACCAAAAAAAACACATTTATTGGGCACCCATATAAATAGCAATATCTCCCAAACCCTAACTCCTCAAACCTCTCGCCTCTTCGTCGCCTCTGGTCTGCCCGTCAAGGTAAACCTGATTTCTTCATCTTCTTCGTCTATGATTCTTTATGGTTATTATTGATCTGATCTATAGTTATTATAAATCTGATTCTTTTTGCTCCATAGTTGTTGAATTTTTTTGGCTATCTGTTGCTGATCTCTCTCTGTAGCTACGGTGAAGGTTCTCTATAGCTGATCTGGGTTCTAGTTGAAGGGTTTTTTTTTGCTTTCTGTGATCTGCTTCTGGGTTGTATTTTATTTTATTTTTGCTTTTGTGCTGTATTGTTGAATAACTCCTAAAGCATCAAGAATATTTTTGTTTTTGCTTTTATGCTGTATTTTTATTTGTTTTTGCTTTTGTGCTCATTTTTTACGTGTCATACATTTCTACTGATGCTTGATGTTTACCGTTTACTGACTTCAACCTCTCCATTCACCTTAAGGTGCTAGTGAAATGCCTAATTTCTTTCCCTCTTTAGCAGAAGTATTTGATGGTAATATTTGGAATTTTGAAGGCATTGCTCAGATTCTAGGGGATCAGTTGCAGAGTGAAATTCTGTCTTTAGGGATTTCTTATTCCAATTTGGCTGATAAAAGGGTGTGGAAACATACTCGATCTGGTATTTTTTTCGGTTAAATCAGCATGGGAGCAGGTGAGGATTCAGGAAGAACATAGTGTGGTGGCTGATTTTATCTGGAAACAGAGAGTTTTGCCTAGTGCACAGTTATGTGGATGGAAAATTTTTCAAAATGCTCTGGCTGTGGATAGCAGAATTCGAAGTGTGGGAATTACTCTGGTTAGTCGATGTAGTTTATGTTTTAATAATGAGGAGTCTCTTAATCATCTTTTTATTGATTGTGAGTCTACTCAATTGATTTGGAGAAGAGTTGCTGGTAAATTGGGGTTTGCAATTATTGATGGGGAGTCTCCGTTAATGAGATTTGTTCGTGTTGCTAGAACTTTCAAATCTCAGTCCTTGAGCCATGGCTTGATTTTTTGGGGTATGGGGTAGCAGATTTTTTGGCTTCACTTGCTGCCAAGACAACGTGCTGCAATGCTTTTACTCTGACTGGGTTGCCTGTGGAAGGGAAGTTGCTGTTGCTTCAAGACCAGATTGGGTTACCAGTTGCAAGGAAGAAGAAGAAGAAGAAGGCATTAATTTTTCGAAGTGTTATTTCCCAGTAATTCTAAATTTTGGAGATTAAGAAGAAGTTTTGTATTCATGGTATTGTTTTGAAGGATTAAAGCCAAATTTGGCTTTATATCCATTTGATTCTTGTAATTCTTTGAATTGATGAAATAATTTGGCATGACCAAAACCACTCCAGTGCTAGGATGGTGGTGCTGTCAAAATTTCAGAGAATATTTTTTTGTTAAATAGTGAGGGGTTGTTTGGGTTAGTTAGGGGACATTTCGATTAATAGCATGGAATTATGTTAATGTATACAAGCTACTCACAAAAAAAAAAAAAAAATACAAGTGTTACAACCAAACGAGTTTTCTATTTTTGTTTTCAAATTTTTTTACAACTATAAAAACAACCAAACACGTTTTCTGTTTTCATTTTTTACTAACGAAAATCTAAAACTGATTATGTTTTTCATTTTTTTAAAAAACCAAAATTATAAACGTTACCAAACGAGCCCATAGCTATTCAAGTAAATGACATTCAGTGAAGAATTTAATTAGAAAGTACAAATTTAAGGATTTAAAAGTATTCAATCTGTTTTCTAATCTCTGCATCCAATTCTATTGTCCCCTTTAGGTGTTGATCTAAACGACTAGCCCTCTTATTTCCAATGAACCAGTATTAGAGATATTCCAACAAACTGAATTCGTGCTGGGTTCAACAGCAAAAAAATGGAACCTCGGAATGGCAATTAACACCACATTAGTTTTTCTTTAACTCTGTGTTGACAAATGCATTCTTTTTTCATTCCACTTGGAAAAATATTTAAGTGCTGAAATGTATAGAGAGAAATGTAAAGATAGAGAGAAGCATGCAGTAATCAAATATCTTTACTACAAAAGTAAAAAAGAATAGGGGTGCTCTGGCAATATGAGGAAGTCCAATGTAAAAGAACACACAACTACAGTTTTAATATCTTGGAAAATAAGTAGAAATTGCATTAAATTACTTCTTAGGGAAAGCTATGGATGAAGAAGATAACATGGCCAGATGTAACGAGAATGCATCCCAAAATAACCAGTCCAAACTGGCCCTAAACTTCCTGTTCCATTCCACCAGTTTTAGTTCGGAACTATGCGTCCAAAAGTAGCATCAAAGTAATTACAACAATAATACCAAACCGAGTGGAGATCATTTTATGCTTAAACAAGTGTCGCACCCGTGCGATTCATGGGGGTTTGCAAACCTCCTGTCGCTCTTCCTTTCACCCACCATTTGGGAATAAGGAATTATGAGAAGCTATGCATTATCTGGGAATTCAAAGAATTATGGAAAATTATTGGAGATTAAAACTAATTTCTGAAAAGAAAATTTACATGAGTAATAAGAGATTGGAAGCTAGTTATAGAAACCAAATTTTGAATATCGATTGGATGAATAGAATTAATCTTAATCAAAATTCTAAAAAATCAGGAAAGGAGGAGGGAAGGCTTCTCAAGCTCCTCTATTCTTAATTTGATTGCCATATATTAACAGATAGATATCTCTGAGGGCTAAGCACTATATTATTTGATGATGATAGACAAATGGGCAACAAAGAAAATTGAAATTGACAAAGTTATAAAAGAAAGAAAGGAACTCAGCAGAGACAATTGTGCACATACACATGATGCCCACATACCTTAATCAGAAAGAGAAGGCATGAAGTTGCTATAGGAAGAAGAGTACATAGGACCACTATGAAACCCTTTGGACTGCTCTTTCGAACCACAATATGGTGGACATCAATGGCTTCAAGAGGACCCTTTTCGACATCATGAACGTATATGTATCTCGCAGTTTCACTAGCGGAGGACTCCGCCATTTGTCAATACTTCGAAAGCAGACAATCATTCAACCAACATCATATTGTTGGCAATAACCTAAATTCAGAACCCAAAAAAGGAAACAAAATAATAGCCAGGTGGTGGCAATAGATTAGGGTTTTCTGTATATATCGTGAAGAATGAAAACTGAACAATAACAGATAAAAATCTCAGATGAATACGTAGTTACCTGGAGCTATTCTCGATTTGAAACCAAATAACCAGTCAATTCAACAAGTGTTTGTAGCTGGATTTGTTTCCAGGGAGCGTATCGCAAGAACATTCGTCTTAATTAGCTGTAATCTCTGCAAGTGTGGCACACAGACACAGTTCGACTAATGACTTCTGGCCTGTGTGTGTGTCTGTGAGACAGAGAGAGAGAGAGAGAGAGAGAGAGAGAGAGTTTTGCTTCTTCATGGGCTTTTCAAAGTTTCCATCAATATCATTGCCCATCTATGACAATAATACAAAACAGAGCGTTTCAAATAAATTTATCCATGGGCTACTAATATTCATTTTAAAATTATTCATATTACACATATTTTCATACACAAATTAACCCTAACATAAACTATTTTGGGTCTATAACCCAATTTAAATTTAATAAGCCCAATAATCAAGTCCCTTGATGTTTTTTTTTTCTTTTGAAAATAATAATATTATAGAAATCTATTATAACCATTGAATTACCAACTTATAGCAAGTTCTAATTAATAATAAAATCCATTGTTAATTCAATAATTGTGAGTAATTAAATTAATAAATAAAATTCAAATAATATTACTATTTTAAAAAAAATCATTATCCAGCCCCTTTTCTATCACCCCCTAGTGTTGCCATTGTGTGGTGGTGCCCAGAGTCTTACATCAAATGTATAATAAAAAAAATAAGTAATATTATATGGACTTAAAATAATGACTTGATTAATTATTATCATTGATTTAAGAAAAAATTTCACTTATATCCCCTCTAGTTAGGTATAAATTTAACGACACTCTCTTTCTATTATGAAACTTCATTGTACCCCCTTCTGATTTAAAACTTTCAAATCAAAAACACCCTCTTAACCATGAAGTTTAAGTTGTTTAATAGTGCCGGTTGAAAAAGTAACGGTTTGCCATTAAATTTTTTAAAAATGTCAAAACTATCCCTTCTTATATAAATGTACAAAAATTAGAGGTGCCAATTTTTGACTCAAACATGAACCCCACTCAAACCGAATCCTACACGAACTCGAAAATAACACGATTCATTGACATGAGAAATAAACGGATCAAATTAAGATTCGACACGAATAACACGATTAATGGGTACTGTAGATAGAAAATAATTATTTTATGAGTATTTTAGATAGAAAATAAGATTTTTATAATTTTTTAAATAGTATTATATTAATCATTGTCAAATTAAATAATTTTTTATTAACACGAATATTGACACGAATCCGACACGTACTAAAAGTGATACGACACAACATGATTGACACCCCTAACTAAAATGTCCCTAACATTTTTTTCTCTATATATATATATATATATATACACACACACACACACACACGAGGTTTGTTCTTCAAGTTGTTCTCCACATTGATCGTTCACTATATAAGTTGGTAGATATTTTTTTTCTTGTAAATTTGTAAATGTTTTTTATGCAATTTTTTTTTAAAAAATTTCATTAAGTTTATTTTTTTAATTTTTTTATGTTGATATTTTTAATTTTTTCATGTAATTTTTTTTAATATTTGTTCAGGCCTTTTTTTTACTCAATTTTTTTATGTAGATAGGTTTAAATTTTTTTTCATGCAATTTTTATTTTTAGATGTTTAAATGTCAATATAGTATGATGTATTATTATAGGATTGATGTCTTCTTCAATTGTTGGCGGGGGTAGAGACAAAGGAGATGAGGAGTTTGACATAAGATATAGTTATAAACCATGTTATTATGAGAAAAAAATTGTGGTTAAGATAGTGGAATCTGATAAGCCTCGTAAAGGAAGACTGTATTACAATTGTGAAAAAGGGTCTGCAGATTTTTTGCATGGTGTCATTCGATATTTGTTGTACCACTGATCGCCCAACCTGAAGGGTATGGAATGGGGCATCGCAATACAGAGACAAATATTGAATTGAACAATTTGGCTGCAAGAGTGCAGTCGATAGAGGACACCCTACAATGCATGAAGAAGATGATGACAATTGTAATTGTGATTTTAGTATTACAACTTTTGGTTGGAATGAAGTAGTTACTGACTGATGTTTTTGGTTGTGCAAATATGATGTTTTTGGTTGTTCAAAATTGATACTTTTGTTCTATGTAATATGACTCGTATGCTGTTCTAACTACTATGAAATATGTCTAGTATGATTTTGTTATGCATTGCAATTTTGACTAGTATGCAATTTACCTCCATTCCCATACATTCATAATAGTTTCAATATTTAGCATCCATGTGCAGTCACAAACTATTCTATTGTGACATTTGCAGCTATTCTGCACAAAAATTTACAAGTAATATGTTAAACCAACTATTAAATAACCATCCGTTCTACACAAAAGTCTTAGTTTATTCCTAATCTATTCCTATGTTAAACCAACTATATTCAAGTATTCACACTAGGAACAAAAACAATTAAAAAGTCAACACTGATAAACTGATCAAGTCCCAGCTGTTTGTGTCTCCCCCATGCCCCTGCCCCCTACCCCTGTCTTTCCTTGCTTTGCCTCGTCCTCTTCTTGTGTCCACTGACCCTTTAATGTTTTGGTTTTCTTGTGGCAAGCTTGGTTGTGTGTTGTCCCTTCAATGCTTTGGTTTTGTGGTGGTAAGATAGGTTGTGTTAGTGTTCCTCTTCCGTTGCCCTTACTTTTCATTCCTATTCCTCTGCAACACCAGTCCCTCCAGTTGTAGATACCTAACAAGTATGGAAAAGTGAATTAGTACCTTGTATATGTTGTAAACTAAGTAACTAAAAAAAGAAGGAATTAGTACCTGTTCAGATGTTAGTCCAATTTCAGATTTTGCTTGTGAAGTTGTCTGTTTTGCCCTCACAGGTGCTCTTTGACATGTCCTCTTATTATGACCAAACTCTTGCAAATTTTACATTCCACACTTAAAGACTTCCTAACAAAGCTAGTATGTGATGTTGGTTCATCTGCCTTCCTCCTCTTGTTTTTTTTTTTTTTGGGTTTGCTTGGGAGTCTTCTCACGAGGGGAGGAGATAGCATATCACCAACTACAGGTGGCCATTTTCTTTGGTCTTGAAAAGGGTGTATCATTAGCTCATGAGCTTTTAATAATGCCTCCTTCTTGAAGAAATCATGATAGTATTAATATTCAACCTCTTGTGTGCAATTGCCTGTGCGACATGCTTACCTGGTATGCCTGATATATCCCAGCCCTTACAGTCACATTTTTTTTCATAAAGTACCACTATGTATCTTATCCAATTATCTATTATCTCATACTGCATTCCATCTACATGTACTACAGAACATGATCTTGACTCAACAATGATTTTGTTAAGTTTTTTCCTGACATTCTTTGTCAATAACCCTCCCCAACTGTTGCCCATCTCATATCTCTGTTGAATCCTAGTCATAAATTTAGTCTTGATGCCATACAACAAATTAATAATAGACTTTGATCTCAGAGATCCTACCCAACTATTGAAAGATTCACTTAAATTATTAGTTACATGATCACTCTTAATTTTGGTATCAAATGCATGCCTAGGCCAACAACCAAATGGCAGCCTAATCATCCATTGGTATGCATCTAGGGGTTTGGGCTTTAAATCTAGCATAGCTTCATTGAAGTCCTCTTCATTATATACTCTAGATGTCTTCCAAAATAACCTTCTAAGCAAAACACTCGAAAATTTTGTCTTAAAGTTGCAAAATAAATGCCTACAACACCTTTTATGACTGGCATGTGAGAATTTATTCTTCAACACATGTTCAAGTCCCTTCCAGTTAATGCAAAGTATAGGTTATAATAAAAAAAATTTAGTAATAACAGTAAAAAAAAAAGACAATAACAGTACATACCTTTTGTTGATCAAACAAGAAACAAAGTGGAGATGCATGGTGTCCAATGACTTTTGTTAAATGACGAATGAAGAAATTCCAGCTATCATACCTCTCACTTTCCACTAAACTAAATGCAACAAGAAAAAGACCATTGTTAGCATCAAGTGCAATTGCAGATAGTAGAACACCACCATATGACCCTTTCAAATGGTATCCATCGAGGCTTATGAATGGTCTGCATGCAGTGATAAACCCTCTGGTAAGAGCATTAAAAGCTATGAAAGTCCTCTTAAAAGGCGGCTTACCATATGCATTTTGATCACTAGTTTCTATGGCAACAAGACTACCCGGATTACTTCGAATGATTTCATTTCCATACTGCCTCACTTTCTCATAAGCTTCTCCATGATTCCTATCAATGTCATCTAGTATTTTTCTCTTTGTTCTATAGCACTTTAGCAAATCTGTTTCTATGTGCACCTTAGCATTGATTGTTTCTTGAAGAACATCAAGTTTCATTTCAGGATTACTACGTATTTTATTTTCTAATTTCTTAGCAAGCCAATTGGATGTTGCCTCAGTACTGTAACTGTTTCTGACACGTGTGTGGACCCATCAGGAAGTGGAGATGCATGGATCCTCCAATTACATCCCCCATTTCCATAGTAGCATGTAATCATTTTTCTCTCTTTTTTATCCTTTACAAGTTGAAATCCCTCATGCACAACATACTCTTTCAAAAACTCCCTGAAATGATGAATGTCCATAAACAGTTGAGCAACCTCCAATTGCACTGTCCCATCAAGTTGTCTTTCAAACTCTCTCCCATATCTATTCATGTCAAATGTCCTTGCAGTAGTTTTGTTTCTTGCTTTGTCCACATTATCATCTAAGTCAGAGCTAGAATTAATATAATCATCATCCCCAGATGCATAGTCTGACAATCCATCATCATTGTTTAAATCTGT